ACCCAGTCGAGTCCAAAACCAGGATTAGTCGAGACCGAGTCGAGTCCAAGACCAGGACTAATCGAGACCGAGTCGAGTCCAAGACCAGGACTAGTGGAGACTGAGTCGAGTCCAAGACCAGGACTAGTGGAGACTGAGTCGAGTCCAAGACCAGGACTAGTGGAGACTGAGTCGAGTCCAAGACCAGGACTAGTGGAGACTGAGTCGAGTCCAAGACCAGGACTAGTCGAGACCCAGTCGAGTCCAAGACCAGGACTAGTGGAGACTGAGTCGAGTCCAAGACCAGGACTAGTGGAGACCGAGTCGAGTCCAAGACCAGGACTAGTCGAGACCCAGTCGAGTCCAAGACCAGGACTAGTGGAGACTGAGTCGAGTCCAAGACCAGGACTAATCGAGACCGAGTCGAGTCCAAGACCCAGGACTAGTGGAGACTGAGTTGAGTCCAAGACCAGGACTAGTGGAGACTGAGTCGAGTCCAAGACCAGGACTAGTGGAGACTGAGTAGAGTCCAAGACCAGGACTAATCGAGACCGAGTCGAGTCCAAGACCAGGACTAGTGGAGACCGAGTCGAGTCCAAGACCAGGACTAGTGGAGACTGAGTCGAGTCCAAGACCAGGACTAGTGGAGACTGAGTCGAGTCCAAGACCAGGACTAGTCGAGACCCAGTCGAGTCCAAGACCAGGACAAGTCGAGACCGAGTCGAGTCCAAGACCAGGACTAATCGAGACCGAGTCGAGTCCAAGACCAGGACTAGTGGAGACCGAGTCCAAGACCAGGACTAGTGGAGACTGAGTCGAGTCCAAGACCAGGACTAATCGAGACCGAGTCGAGTCCAAGACCAGGACTAGTGGAGACCCAGTCGAGTCCAAGACCAGGACTAGTGGAGACTGAGTCGAGTCCAAGACCAGGACTAGTGGAGACTGAGTCGAGTCCAAGACCAGGACAAGTCGAGACCGAGTCGAGTCCAAGACCAGGACTAATCGAGACCGAGTCGAGTCCAAGACCAGGACAAGTCGAGACCGAGTCGAGTCCAAGACCAGGACTAATCGAGACCGAGTCGAGTCCAAGACCAGGACAAGTCGAGACCGAGTCGAGTCCAAGACCAGGACTAATCGAGACCGAGTCGAGTCCAAGACCAGGACTAGTGGAGACCGAGTCCAAGACCAGGACTAGTGGAGACTGAGTCGAGTCCAAGACCAGGACTAATCGAGACCGAGTCGAGTCCAAGACCAGGACTAGTGGAGACTGAGTCGAGTCCAAGACCAGGACTAGTGGAGACCCAGTCGAGTCCAAGACCAGGACTAGTGGAGACTGAGTCGAGTCCAAGACCAGGACTAGTGGAGACTGAGTCGAGTCCAAGACCAGGACAAGTCGAGACCGAGTCGAGTCCAAGACCAGGACTAATCGAGACCGAGTCGAGTCCAAGACCAGGACTAGTGGAGACCGAGTCCAAGACCAGGACTAGTGGAGACTGAGTCGAGTCCAAGACCAGGACTAGTGGAGACCCAGTCGAGTCCAAGACCAGGACTAGTGGAGACTGAGTCGAGTCCAAGACCAGGACTAGTGGAGACCCAGTCGAGTCCAAGACCAGGACTAATCGAGACCGAGTCGAGTCCAAGACCAGGACTAGTGGAGACTGAGTCGAGTCCAAGACCAGGACTAGTGGAGACCCAGTCGAGTCCAAGACCAGGACTAATCGAGACCCAGTCGAGTCCAAGACCAGGACTAATCGAGACCGAGTCGAGTCCAAGACCAGGACTAGTGGAGACCGAGTCCAAGACCAGGACTAGTGGAGACTGAGTCGAGTCCAAGACCAGGACTAGTGGAGACCCAGTCGAGTCCAAGACCAGGACTAGTGGAGACTGAGTCGAGTCCAAGACCAGGACTAGTGGAGACCCAGTCGAGTCCAAGACCAGGACTAGTGGAGACCCAGTCGAGTCCAAGACCAGGACTAGTGGAGACCCAGTCGAGTCCAAGACCAGGACTAGTGGAGACTGAGTCGAGTCCAAGACCAGGACTAGTGGAGACCCAGTCGAGTCTAGGGCTGTGTATCACCAACAATGTCACGATACGATACGCATCACGATCCTAAAGCCACGATACGATACGTATCACGATATGGATCAATTTGGAATTTAAATTTCTTTTGAGCAGAGTAATATCTTTATTGAATAAACAGTGTTATAACAGTTGTGATAACTGAAAAACTATTTAGTTTTTGTCATTAAAAAACAATGAGAGTTCAATTAAATAAGTGTTGGAATGTGCACCAAACAAAGTAATTTCTTTACATTACGTTGAAATCATTTTAAACAACTAAATACAATAGAATAAAGATAGCCTACCAATAAAGAGATTTTTTTTTGAATAGGTCTAGCACTAGTATTCAGAAATACTACAGAAACTTAAAGTAATTAAATGTACAATAACACTGGGTAGTATTTTAGTCCTGACTAAATTAAATACATTGGCTATAAATCCAGATTCCTTATAATTAAAGCTATCTTTTGTTGTTTTGACGACAATATTAATGACAGACACACATGGCTGCCGTCACTTTAAGAGCTAGTGCACGGATCCTGTGTTCATTATGCTGTCACATGCATTAACCGACTGTGTTGGATACTCACCAAGACTGACATTTTTGACATCATTTTGCTTGTTTTTGTCCGTAAAAGCGATATAATCCGTGAAAAAGAACTTTTGTTACTCACAGGCTGTTTGTGAGGCGGCTTTACTCTATGTATGCATGCAGAGAAAACCATCTCTCAGAGAGCGTGCGAGCACTGAATAGTTTAAAATCGCTTGAATGTTTTGCGTGGTAAGACTTAAAAAGACGAGCGAATGGTAAACTTAAGTGACAATGCAATACTGGCCCGAATATGCAAGTGAATATTCCGTCATGTCCCAACTCCCGAAAGCGAGAGTGTATCGCCGCCTTCAGCGCGTTTGACGCTTGCCTTGAGCAACCCATTTTGAGATAGAGACAGAAGACGCGGCACAGCTGAACACTCACGCTGTTTGTGAAATTGTGTCTTTCAGAATGTTTTAAAATGACTAATTCGATGTTATATCGAATAAATATGGTTAGAATAATGCGTAATACTCGCAATCCCGTGCTGAAATTCGAGCCCTGAATTGGCTACATTCAAAAGCATGACAGTATCGATACAGCAGTTGCTGTATCGATACGCGCATCGTCAGGAGTTCATGACGATGTATCGTCGTATCGATATTTTGAGCACAGCCCTAGTCGAGTCCAAAACCAGGATTAGTCGAGACCGAGTCGAGTCCAAAACCAGGATTAGTCGAGACCGAGTCGAGTCCAAAACCAGGATTAGTCGAGACCGAGTCGAGTCCAAAACCAGGATTAGTCGAGACCGAGTCGAGTCCAACTGAGACAGTCAAGACAGAGACAGAAAAAAAAATCCTCTTCAAGACCACGTACTTAACAATTGATTATTAATGTGATGCGAGAGACAACAGACAATTATTTTGCATGATCAAAAAGCATGTGTGCATATTAAAGTGTGCATATAAGCTGCCTGGGTGTTTTTAAACTCACTACATGTTTAGAATAGCATATTTGAATATAACTAAACAGCAACATGAACGTTTACAGCAGCAAAGTCACTAATATTGTCTTTTTACTCACAAACTAAGGTTTTATTGCACTTTCTTACAGTAACGAACGTAATGTTAACTGTTGTCAACTCGCTTCTTCACTAGCCTACACCTCGACCGCTGTGTGTGTGTGTGTGTGTGTGACCGAGACCGGACTCGAGTACTACAGCACCGCCGTAAAGCTCCATGTTTCGCTGTATTACAGAAACATCCCATCATCTTCAGTCTTAAATTAAGATCAATCACTGCAGTTTCTAAAGTCCCCATGAAATCAAATTCGACATTTTTTAATGGAATATCGCAGTGTTTATTCTAAATGATTTATCAGTGCACATCATTATTGTGTTAATAATCTTGAATCAGAATAACTGTCACTCGCATGAGCTCAGCCAATAGCAAACCACAACCATTCAACCATCCAATCAACTCCCCACGGACACAATCAAGCCCCGCCCACAGTTTGAAGGGCATCAGGTGATTCGCACCTGTCCGGAGTTAGTGTTTATAGACAGAGCTGAGCTGACCTCAGACCAGCACTACTGACAGATGCACTGATCTGCCGGCCAACAGAAGTCATCCTTATAGAATATGATTTACTCATTAATAAAACCTGATGATGATGATGTCACTGAAGCATCACTGAGATCAGAGCGACGGAAGTGTGTGTGTGTGTGTCACTGATGAACTGGACAATACAGTGTCACTGAGACGCAGGTCAGCCATCATGAGCATCCGCTGAGATCTAAATTATGCAGCACGAACATCCTGTTCATTAGAGAACAGACCAGATCCACGCGGAGCATCAATTCTTAATTCAAGGCCTGAACTGATGCTTAAGATGGACAAAAACACTGATGTAGTAGAGATCACCACACACACACACACACCTGTGAGAGCGTCCAGTGGCTCCAGCTCTCTGCTGATGCTCACACACACACACACACACACACACCTGTGAGAGCGTCCAGTGGCTCCCGCTCTCTGCTGATGCTCACACACACACACTCACACACACACACACACACACACACCTGTGAGAGCGTCCAGTGGCTCCAGCTCTCTGCTGATGCTCACACACACACACACACACACACACCTGTGAGAGCGTCCAGTGGCTCCCGCTCTCTGCTGATGCTCACACACACTCACTCACACACACACACACACACACACACCTGTGAGAGCGTCCAGTGGCTCCAGCTCTCTGCTGATGCTCACACACACACACACACACACACACCTGTGAGAGCGTCCAGTGGCTCCCGCTCTCTGCTGATGCTCACACACACACACACACCTGTGAGAGCGTCCAGTGGCTCCCGCTCTCTGCTGATGCTCACACACACTCACTCACACACACACACACACACACACCTGTGAGAGCGTCCAGTGGCTCCAGCTCTCTGCTGATGCTCACACACACACTCAGTCTGCGGTGTGTGTTCGGGCCGGACGTGTGTTTTCTGGTCCTGATCCTCTTATTCAGACCCTGATGAAACCAGAGTCACACAAGCAGATTCCCGTTACAAGCCTGATTTCCTGAAGCTGGGATCATTTATCCTCAGCAGATCTGGGTCACACTCACTGGACCCAGATCAGCTGCTCTCTCACACACACACACACACACACACACACACACACACACACACACACACACTGGACCCAGATCAGCTGCTCTCACACACACACACACTCACTGGACCCAGATCAGCTGCTCTCTCACACACACACAGTCTCTCTCTCACACACACACTGGACCCAGATCAGCTGCTCTCTCAACCACACTGGACCCAGATCAGCTGCTCTCTCACACACACACAGTCTCTCTCTCACACACACACACACACACACACACACACACACACTCACTGGACCCAGATCAGCTGCTCTCTCACACTCACTGGACCCAGATCAGCTGCTCTCTCACACACACTGGACCCAGATCAGCTGCTCTCTCACAAACAAACAGTCTCTCACTCTCACACACACACACACACACACACACACTCTCACTGGACCCAGATCAGCTGCTCTCTCACTCACACACTCACACACTCTCTCTCTCTCTCTCTCTCTCTCTCTCTCTCTCTCTCTCTCTCTCTCTCTCTCTCTCTCTCTCACACACACACACACACACACACTCACTCACTGGACCCAGATCAGCTGCTCTCACACACTCACACACTCTCACTGGACCCAGATCAGCTGCTCTCTCACACTCACACACTCTCTCTCTCTCTCTCTCTCTCTCTCTCTCTCTCTCTCTCTCTCTCTCTCTCTCTCTCTCTCTCACACACACACACACACACACACTCACTCTCTCTCTCTCTCACACACACACACACACACACACACTCTCTCACTGGACCCAGATCAGCTGCTCTCTCTCACACACACACTCTCTCTCTCTCTCTCACTCTCTCACTCTCTCTCTCTCTCTCTCTCACACACACACACACACAGAGTAGTTCTGCGCTTCTGTCTGTTGTTTGCACGGCTCTGTTCACTAAAGCTCTTCTACAGTAATGTCGACTCTGGAAGGGCTTATGAACTGCTGAGGTAAACAGTTCTCCTTAGATTTAGATATCAATACAATCAAATGACCTGGTATTTCAAAGCAAATCAACAACTGAAATTAATACGAGATTCATGGTACAAAACATCTTATATAATGAACTATGATAATAATAAGAATTTCAATCCGATGGCTATTTTTATGATTACTGAAATGCTTTAGCTACAATGTTCGAATGGCTGAAACCTGGCAAAGTATGAAAAATTGGGCACATGTCATTATGTGTATTGCTAAATATCAGCATTATGTTCTAAACTAACATGGAATGATACAGGCAACTAATCAGAACATTTTCCTCTTTACCTATGTTCATCCAATAATCAATAATTTACCTCATTTTCAAAGTCCTGATCATCGTCATGCAGTTTGCCTCCCTTTCTGCTGGATTTCACACACTGAAAACAGATTATATATATATATATATAGATAGATAGTCAGATAGATAGAGTTCATTGAGGTAATCTACAGTTAGTCTATAATGTTCTCAACAGAAAGTCCTACCTTGTCTTTCTTTGACTTATGCGGCATCATGAGTGACAGGATCATGAACTGACTAACTGAACACACATACACGCGCGTGCGCGCGCTGATTGACAGGTGCCAGTCACGTGATAGCACCCGCTACATTTATTTACGGTTCAAAACCTCTATGTTCAAAACCAACTTTAGTTTAGGGTTCATGTAAGTTATTGTTTAGGTTCAGTAGTCAAGATATTTAGTAAGTGAGCGACATGCTTCTAGACTAAATGCAAAAGTCGATCAAACTTTATGTTGCCTCAAGGGTTTTCAAGCAGTCTGCCACCTTATGAGATTTATTATAAATTTGTATTTCCATATGTAAGTGTTTATATTAGTATTATTTTTCTTTTATATCATAAATTGGGTGTGATCAGGGTGTGATGCACGAGAAAAGCGATGACGCTAGGCGTGTGACACTTTTCGGTTTTCTGGGTAATGTAGTTCAAATGTCACGTTAACTAATACGCTCGCCTGGTGGAAAAACTACATATCACAGACTCCAGCGAAACAATAAAGTTCCCCGACGCGCTGGGCGCTGGTCATTACGGTGATGTGACAGAGTCCGTGATACAGCGCGATCTCTCTCACAGCTTACTCATCGGTTAATCTCGGTTAGTCTCGGCTCATTGTGCAGGGAAATGTCTGACAGTGGCGGGGGAGAGGACGGTGGCGGTGTGATGGAGGGTTCTGCTGCCGTACACACAGTGGCGGACGCCTCAGTGCTGCAGAAACACATCCGAAAGCTCGTGCCACTGCTCCTGGAAGATGGCGGAGACGCGCCCGCGGGCCTCGAGAGCGCGCTGGAGGAGAAGAGCGCGCTCGAGCAGATGAAAAAGTTCCTGTCAGATCCACAGATTCACTCGATTCTGGTGGAACGGAACGCGCTGAAAGGTTAAAAGCCGCATGATCATCAATTAATCACATCTTAAGGGTTAAAATCACTCACATGCGTTATTAAGCTCATGATGTGCGGGTTTGCCGCGACTGTCAATCGATTTCGTGATGTTTTATTGCGTTATCGCAGGGTTTGTGTGGCTCCGCCCTGTTTGAGTCGCTCCTGTGATGTGTCAAAAATTAAAGTTTAGGTTATGTTTATTTTAGAAACATGGGTGTAAAGAGACTGCTTGAATTTGTGATGAAATGTCAACAATAAGTGATCAATGCGCGTTCAGGGCGTGTTTGCTGCACTGCAGATCGGTGACGTCACGAATCACGATCATCCGAGTAGGAACGATCGATTCCTCGATTTTAACCGGTATCGATTCTTAAGTCCCAGCCAGCAATCAATCTTGTAACTTTAGTTGTTTGTAGTTGATGCGTGAACAAATTTCTCTAAACATTATTTCTAGCTCATGCCATCAAATAATCACAATAAGCTTTGTTATTTTTAGGTAGTTTTTAAACAAAGTATCCACTAAATTCAGTCAGTAAATGTTTGTTTGTGTGTCTTTGATGTGTAACATCTCTTCATCTTTACTACTAGTTACAGCAGCAAATAAACATCAATGAACATCAGGAGGAATGTTGAAATATTCAGAACCACTTCTGGAAATCAACCATGTCTGTAATCCATCAATCGGTGTTTCAGTCGCGGGAAAGGCCAATTAAACCGCTTGAGAACAACAATGTCATGTAATATTTACCTCAGACTTTTAATGACGATAAACTCCATAGTTAGATAGTAAAATAACTCTAGAGAGGAGCATTCTGATAAATATATGCGCTATACAGTATTCATTATATTATAATATAGTGCTCTTCAGAAACCCTACGGATGACGCACACACACTACGCCCATATTGTATACAGTCTGTGATCATAACCTGTAATATTACAGTAATGCAGAGGGTTCCTGTAGAGTTCACAGCTTCAGTTTGGAGAGATTTTATTACTTGAGATAAATTGTCCTGAATCTGATGTACAGTATATCCAGATGGATGGGGATGGATAATAGTGTACTCTAGGATGACAGGGATCATGTCTCATGTCTCAGTGCAGCGTCGGGACGGGGGCGAGGCTGTGTGTTTATATGACTGTGCTCTTGTGTTCCAGACTCACACACACAGCCTCAAGTCACATGTCTGCTTTTATATAATAGTCATGGTGAATGTTAAATAAAGACTGCTTTATCACAGCCGGTTGTTTCTTGTGATTGACGCAGAGGATGTTGGCGATGAAGGCGAGGAGGAGCGCGAGTGCATTTCCTACAGCGTTAGCATCGACATCCACTACGGGCTCAAATCTAACAGGTGACGCGCGGCAAACATGTGATCCTGATCCTGATCTGTGTGTGTGTGCTAATGTGAACGTGATCCTGATCTGTGTGTGTGTGCTAATGTGAACGTGATCCTGATCTGTGTGTGTGTGCTAATGTGAACCTGATCCTGATCTGTGTGTGTGTGCGCTAATGTGAACCTGATCCTGATCTGTGTGTGTGTGCTAATGTGAACCTGATCCTGATCTGTGTGTGTGTGCTAATGTGAACGTGATCCTGATCCTGATCTGTGTGTGTGTGCTAATGTGAACGTGATCCTGATCCTGATCTGTGTGTGTCTGCTAATGTGAACGTGATCCTGATCTGTGTGTGTGTGCTAATGTGAACGTGATCCTGATCTGTGTGTGTGTGCTAATGTGAACCTGATCCTGATCCTGATCTGTGTGTGTGTGCTAATGTGAACCTGATCCTGATCCTGATCTGTGTGTGTGTGCTAATGTGAACCTGATCCTGATCCTGATCTGTGTGTGTGTGCTAATGTGAACGTGATCCTGATCCTGATCTGTGTGTGTCTGCTAATGTGATCCTGATCCTGATCTGTGTGTGTGTGCTAATGTGAACCTGATCCTGATCCTGATCTGTGTGTGTGTGCTAATGTGAACGTGATCCTGATCCTGATCTGTGTGTGTCTGCTAATGTGATCCTGATCCTGATCTGTGTTTCTCTGCTAATGTGAACGTGATCCTGATCCTGATCTGTGTGTGTCTGCTAATGTGATCCTGATCCTGATCCTGATCTTTGTTTCTCTGCTAATGTGAACGTGTGGTTTCAGCCTGGCGTTGATCAAGCGTACGGGAGTCATCGACGCGGATAAACCGATCTCCACACAGGTGCGTGTTCTGACGCTCAGCGAAGACTCCCCGTACGAGACCCTGCACTCCTTCATCAGCAATGCGGTCGCTCCGTACTTCAAATCCTACATCCGGGAGTCTGGCAAAGCCGACAGGTAACGTCCCCGACATCATTCCTGAAGGAGGAGTCACTTCAGAATTACAATCTCCTGATGATTTACTCTCGTCATCCAACATGTTCATGTGTTTCTTTCTTCAGAGGAAAAGAAATTAAGGTTTTTGAGGAAAACACTCCAGGGTTTCTCCATATAGTGACTTCAATGGGGTCCAACAGTCCTGGAGTGTTTTCCTCAAAAACCTTCATTTCTTTTCCACTGAAGAAAGAAACACATGAACATGTTGGATGACGAGAGTAAATCATCAGGAGATTGTAATTCTGAAGTGACTCCTCCTTTAAAGAAGCTTTACAACTAAAGAAAGAAACTGATCCGGTCGTGATGCGGATGTAACGCCTCAACACGCACCAAAGCTATATTTTCTGAATGTCATAATCATTTGTTATCAAACAAGTATTCATAACTTCAGTGAGCTCATTGTTTCTGCATTAAATTATTACATTCTTTAAATTAATACATTTCTAGCTAACTGTGATTTGTATATGTACATTTCTGCAGAACTCAGACAGTGTCCTCTGATAACTGTAATGTGGACTGAAACGATGTGTGTTGTGGAAAGCGCTGTACAAATAAACGTGAATTGAAGGAATGAGTGTTTGTGGTGTAGGGATGGAGATAAAATGGCCCCGTCGGTGGAGAAGAAGATCGCGGAGCTGGAGATGGGGCTGCTGCACCTCCAGCAGAACATCGAGATCCCCGAGATCAGTCTGCTCATACACCCCACCATCAGCAACGTGGCCAAGCAGTGCTACGAGCGCGCAGAGAAGCCCAAGGTCACCGACTTCGGGGATAAGGTGGAGGATCCCAGCTTCCTGAACCAGCTGCAGTCCGGCGTCAACCGCTGGATCCGGGAGATACAGAAGGTGTGTGTGTGTGTGTGTGTGTGTGAGATCAGGGAGATCCTGAACCAGCTGCAGTCCGGCGCTCGAGCTGCTGCTGACGGTGTGTGTGCTCTTCACATCTGTGCTCTTCACATCTGTGCTCTTCACATCTGTGCTCTTCACATCTGTGCTCTTCACATCTGTGCTCTTCACATCTGTGCTCTTCACATCTGTGCTCTTCACATCTGTGCTCGGAACATATTTAGAGGGGTGATGAACTGAGAAATCAAATTTTCCTTGAGCTTTTGACATCTAAGAGGTCATCATATTATAAGAATATCCTGTAAGTTTCAGAACTGAAAACATCCTTGTTAGTCCAATAAAAGCTTTTATTGACACCAGGCTCAGCAGTGCGGTTCAAAGTGGGGAACTATGACGACAAAGAGGATAAAACACCACCCCCGCAGAAGAAGATCAACGCCTACTTCAACACGGCCGGTTTAGCCCCGCCCACCGATTCGCGCATTACACGAAACTCATTATAATATGCAAAACTGTTATCCACTCACAGCAGTGGGCGTTTACTTCCAAGTCTTCAATGCGAGACGCCCATAAAAACCGAGCGTTTTTGAGCTAGGCTCAAAACTAGGGTAGAAAATAGCCTATTACTTATTCATTTTGATGTTTTTGAATGTAAAAACCAAGCGAACGTCATAAGTTGACCTCAGACAACTATATATAAAAATTTAAAAAGCCAGTTCATGACCCCTTTAAGCCTCAGTTTGGGATAAATAGACTTTCAGTGGATCTCTCTGATTTGGTTAAAAAGCCTTCATGTGTGTTTGTAAGGTTGGGAATGGCATGAGCGAGTGGCTTTCAGTGTGAGCTGTGTGTGAACAGAAGTGCTGTTGTCTGAGGGTTGTGCTGTGTGTGTGTTTGCAGGTGACGAAGCTGGACCGGGACCCGGCCTCGGGAACGGCCCTGCAGGAGATCAGCTTCTGGCTGAACCTGGAGCGCGCGCTGAACCGGATCCAGGAGAAGAGGGAGAGCCCCGAGGTGCTGCTCACGCTCGACATCCTGAAGCACGGCAAGCGCTTCCACGCCACCGTCAGCTTCGACACCGACACAGGTGAGCGGTCAAGCTCTGCACTCACAGATCACTGACCCGTCGAGGAGCCGGCCAAATCCCGGAAGTGCTGCGATCCACGTACGAGAATCCATGAGCCGCGTTATTACACCGTTCTCTAAGGCTACGCGAAATATAACAACCATTTACCATCATAATATAGCGTAGTGCTGTTGAGAAATCACAGCGGCTGCGGTTCTGTTAGAGGAATATGTGCTGTTTCCCACAGAGAAGCACGACGCTTTAATGTGTACGTGTGTGTGTGTACAGACGCCCCTCAGCTCGTTCCCAGTAAACGCGGCTCACACACTCCGTCTCTGCATGTGTGTGTGTTTAGGGTTCCAATAACGTGCCTTCGCGAACGCAAACAGTCCTGTGTGTTTTATAGTGGCACTGTTATCATTTATACAGATTCCTAAACTCCGTCTCTCCGTGCTGTGTGTGTCTGTGTGTGTGTGTGTCTTATAGCGCTCATCTGGGAACGCAGTGTGCGCCATCTCACATTTGTAATGCAACTCGTTTGTAAATCTACGGCAACACAGGAATATGTGAATATGAACATATGAATATTAGGGATGTGAATTTCTGCCAAAAATGACATTCGAAAATCGAGGAGCAAAAGTCGATTATCGTTCGAAAATCGAAAAAAAACAGAAAAAAAAAAAAAACGCGCACTCACAATGACAGAAAGGGAGGCCAATTTCATCTTTAGCGATTTGTCATCAAACAAACTGTTTATTATTCGAACAATTAACATGTTTTCGTCATTTTTTTAACATACCGGTAGTTAACATAGAAGGAAAAAACAATAAGCAGGACAGTCCGTTTTTGCATCGCCAAACCAGATGCTCGTTCGTTAGATAAAAAAAAAAAAAAGTCATAATGATTTTATGCAAACCTGCCTTGTTACTGCAAAAGCCTACTTTTTAAACAAATTAGTTTCAATCAATACTATTCGTGTGATGCCACTGCGCAATACACACACATTACCACGGGATGGCGGGTGTTCATTTCATAAACTGTGGACAATGGTAGCTTATTTAATGTAGCCTATAAATGAATGTATATGTCCAAAAAACGGATATGTCATCATACTTGTAGTGCTATCGTCGAGTAATAATCTGTTTGGTTGTAAAATGTATTACCTGAATGAAATGAGCTTGAATGTATCGTCCTGTGGAATCATTCATTCACAGACATCATACGAAGATGTTCAACTAGATCGCTGGCAAAAATATGATGCATTTGCCGATTTGCTTTCACTAGACTGTACTGTAGATCCACGGCCACTTCATCCAACGCTCTTGATGTTGTTAAATCTTCCTGTTACGACTCCGTGTCGAGTGTGAAAGCGCTTCAGTGATTCAGTGCGCGAGGAACTGAACAGATCATTCAAACTGATTCGCCAACCGATTTAGACAGATCTGCCAACTTGTTTGATGAAGTCTTTGAACAGAATCGACTCAAAAGAGTGATTCATTTGTGAATGGAGCATCGCTCATGCCCATAAAAAAGACACAGCACGCTTGGAATAAACTACGCATTTAACAACATGTATTGCATTAAAATAAAGTAACGAGAGGAACGTCGCCCAACGTAGTGAAGTAAATGTAGATTACTTTGTTACTACCATAGACGGTAACTAGACAGTAAAGGTTAGTCTATCCACCTCTGCTGGGCGCAGAGTTAACGGTCAGACAATGCTCTTCTTCTGTTGTTTGTTTACACTATGTATAAAACACTGGTATCCTAGATCGCGCAGGAGAGGGTTTCATTCATGTTAGTGACGCCTTGTGTCCCCGACAGGAAAATACCCTGCTGCGCGATCTAGGACAGTATAGGCGCGCCGTCAATTATGTCACATTGGAATTGCGCGAAAATGTAACGATATTCGAATAAGCAATTTTATGATCGAATTTCGAACGCAGTTCGACTATTCGAAGATCGCCACTCATCCCTAATGAATATGTTTTGAAATATGCGAATTGTTGTTCATCGCAATTTCAAAATATAAGTTCAAGCCTTCGCTCTGTTTGCATGTTTTGATGCGCACGTGTTCTTGTTCACGAAAGTACAGCGGCGGTTGCGTTTCTATCGTACAGAAGTGACAAATTATAAACAATTGTGACAAAAAGATTAAGTGGATATTTGAATTAAATGTTGTTTGGCCAATATTACACAAGGGTTAGATCAAGCCGTAGAGTAACGGCAACGAACACCAGCCGTCGCGCATCGGCAGCCATTTGCTAGAAAACATAATGTACATGCGTTTAGAATAGTTATGAATAATAGTATAAAATGTATTTTAATGGTGTTGTTCAATAAAACCCATATGATTACTTGCTTTTAACTTAATTTGAACCTATTATTATTATTATTGCTTGTTGTTATGTATTTGTGTTTTAAGTCATTTTAAAGGCTGTTGTTCACTTGGATCTATTTTTATTACCACAATAATACTCCGTTCCTCGCTCCTCGTGTCTAACGCCCGTGTGTGTGTGTGTGTGTGTGTGTCTCAGGGCTAAAGCAGGCTGTGGAGACGGTGAACGATTACAACCCGCTGATGAAGGACTTCCCCCTCAACGACCTGCTGTCGGCCACCGAGCTGGACAAGATCCGGCAGGCGCTGGTGGCCATCTTCACTCACCTCCGCAAGATCCGCAACACCAAGTACCCGATCCAGCGAGCGCTGCGTCTGGTGGAGGCCATCTCCCGGGACCTGAGCTCGCAGCTGCTGAAGGTGCTGGGCACACGCAAGCTCATGCACGTGGCCTACGAGGAGTTCGAGAAGGTGCGGCCCGCTCGCGTACATCACGGTGTGAGCCGGTCCCTCCTCCTGCAGGCCCGGCTCACGCTCCTCTCCTCCACAGGTGATGGTGGCGTGTTTCGAGGTGTTCCAGACGTGGGAGGACGAGTACGAGAAGCTGCAGGTGCTGCTGAGGGACATCGTGAAGAGGAAGCGGGAGGAGAACCTGAAGATGGTGTGGCGTCTGAGTCCTGCGCACCGCAAGCTGCAGGCCCGGCTGGACCACATGAGGCGCTTCAGACGCCAGCACGAGCAGCTCCGGGCCGTCATCGTGCGCGTGCTGCGGCCTCAGGTGCGCACCCGCTGTTCGTCTGAGCGAATGAGGACGTGATTGTCATTTAGAAAAGCTAATAATGTGGCGTAAATTTTCATTTACTTTGCGAACGTTAAAAAAAGTTTGTTCTATATCGTGTGAATATGGGTATAATTAATTAAATTCAAGCGTACTACATCCGCCATGCTGTTACTGGCACTTGTTTTGAGATGCTACTCATTAGGGTTAGGGTAAAAAATAATGATTTCTCTATTTTAATCGATTCTCATGTTTACGAACCGATATTGATTCTTAAATGCCAAGAATTGATTAGTCTATCCTGTTTTCAGTTGATGGATGAGCAGTCCCATCCAATCAATAGCAAGAACTACGTGCTTTCAACGCTTGATATGAAACAAAGTCTCAGATTTAAAATTATGTCCATTTTACTATGAAATTCACCAGTTACAGCAACAGATGAACATGCGTGAGCATCAAACCCGTATCATGTTTAATGTAATCGTTAAATCAGTGTTTCGGAGAACAATGTCACATTTACCTCAGAAAAACCATATCCAGAGACCATGATCTCGTTACTCAGCTGGAAAAATGAACTATACAGAGGAGCTTTCGGCTAAATATGTGCACAATTTTTAATGTTCTTCAATATTTAATTTAAGTTATGACAGCCAACATTTAAATGTTTATATTTCAAGAAATGAATTGGAGTGGAAATATGTAGTTTATAGCTTTATCATTATAAAAACTCATTTAATGTAAGTGTTTGTTTACAAATATTTTAATTTGAACCTTCAGTGTTACAGTAATGCAGCTGACCCGTGTTTACAGCACCTTGAACATTACAAGTTCCTTGAGTAAATGTGCCATGTAGTGTATCTGACATACAGGCAAACCACACATTATTCAGACACCGATATCATTTTTTCACTAGTGTGTGCAGGACACTATAGTTCATTTATGTGAGTGAGGAGAGCAACATAAAGTGATATTTTATAACCAAAAATTTAGTGACTACCAGTAAAAGTTATAAAAATTTGGGAGCAAAAATGATTCCTCCACTTTGAGCTGATGATGTTCTGCTGAAGTGTGTTTTCTGTAATTGCTAATGCTCTTTTTACACACAGACTGAACAACATGAAGCATTGCTTGGTCACTGGTTGAGCTAAACTGGTATTATCTAATTGTGTAGTTAAATTTAACAGCTGACAGATATTCAACATAATTCATGTGTGAGAGTCTAACAGAAGGACGGACAAAACCAGTCAAATATCCACTGAGTTCTGCTCATATTTATCACCATTTTCTAAACTATAGCGAATAACCTGATAATGTGAGAAATGTTGAAGCTGTGTGTGTGTGTGTTGAAGCTGTGTGAGTGATGTTGTGTGTGTTGGAGCTGTGTGTGTGTGTGTGTGTGTGTGTTGTGTGACTGTATATCAAAACGAATTGAATCGGAATCGAATCATGAGAGTTGTGATCGCCCAGCCCTCCTCTCCTGCAGGGCAGTTTGAGCACTGTATCGTAGAGGAGTGTTGGATTGTGGACTTGCGCTTGTCTTTGCAGGTGTCCGCCGTGTCCCAGCATGCTCAGGGAGAGACCGCCGAGCCGGCCGATCTGAAGGTGGCCGAGGTTCTGTTCGACGCTGCGGACGCGAACGCCATCGAGGAGGTCAATCTGGCGTACGAGAACGTGAAGGAGGTGGACGGCCTGGACGTGTCGAAGGAGGGCATGGAGGCGTGGGAGGCGGCCATGAAGCGCTACGACGAGCGCATCGACCGCGTGGAGACGCGCATCACGGCCCGCCTGCGCGACCAGCTGGGCACCGCCAAGAACGCCAACGAGATGTTCCGCATATTCTCCCGCTTCAACGCCCTGTTCGTGCGGCCGCACATCCGCGGAGCCATCCGCGAGTACCAGACGCAGCTCATCCAGCGCGTCAAAGACGACATCGAGTCCCTGCACGACAAGTTCAAGGTGCAGTATCCTCAGAGCCAGTCCTGCAAGATGAGCCACGTGCGGGACCTGCCGCCCGTCTCCGGCTCCATCATCTGGGCCAAGCAGATCGACCGGCAGCTCACGGCCTACATGAAGCGCGTGGAGGACGTGCTCGGCAAGGGCTGGGAGAACCACGTGGAGGGCCTGAAGCTCAAGCAGGACGGCGACAGCTTCCGCGCCAAGCTCAACACGCAGGAGATCTTCGACGACTGGGCCCGAAAGGTGCAGCAGCGCAACCTGGGCGTGTCGGGCCGCATCTTCACCATCGAGAACACGCGCGCGCGCGGGCGCACCGGCACCGTGCTCAAGCTCAAGGTCAACTTCCTCCCCGAGATCATCACGCTCTCCAAGGAGGTGCGCAACCTGAAGTGGCTGAGCTTCCGCGTGCCGCTAGCCATCGTCAACAAGGCCCATCAGGCTAACCAGCTGTACCCGTTCGCCATCTCGCTCATCGAGAGCGTGCGCACGTACGAGCGCACCTGTGAGAAGGTGGAGGAGCGCACCTCCATCTCGCTGCTCGTGGCCGGCCTGAAGAAGGAGGTGCAGGCGCTCGTCACCGAGGGCATCTCGCTCGTCTGGGAGTCCTACAAGCTCGACCCGTACGTGCAGCGGCTGGCCGAGACCGTCTTCAACTTCCAGGAAAAGGTACATCTGGTCCAGAGGTCGTAGGTCACGCAACTCTATGCATGTTTCGTGAGGTTCCCCTCTCTGTTAAACGTATTTTATTGACTGTCCTGGGTTTAATGCTCTACTGTGAAGTTACTTCACTTAAGGACTTATTTAGTAAGATTATGCTTGAAAAGTTTTTGGATTTTTTTATCATATGTTAATTTAAAATAAAATGTATACAGGTGAAACTCGATAAATTTGAATACCGTGCTAAAGTTCATTTATTTCAGTAATTCAACTTAAAAGGTGAAACTAATATATTATATAGACTCATTACATGCAAAGTGAGATATTTCAAGCCTTTATTTGTTATAATTGTGATGATTATGGCTTACAGCTTATTAAACCCCAAATTCAAAATTAGAATATTGTGAAAAGGTTTTCATATCTGTAAGCCATAATCATCACAATTATGACAAATAAAGGCTTGAAATATCTCACTTTCCATGTCATGAGTCTATATAATACATTAGTTCTAATTTTTCGAGTTTCACCTGTAATATGACTTGTGTGTTTGTTTGCTTGGTTTTATTGTATTTATATGATATTTGTATTTTTGTGGTTGAATTGTTGCCATGAAAATAGCCTTAGATTCTGACATGGCATTAAATAAAACAATCAATCCAAGAAAAGGTCGACCAACCCGAGACCAGGAAACCTAGAGCACCAATCAGGCGTTTGGACACACACACGTTATTGTGATTGTTTGCATTTTTGACTAATATTCATCAAAAGAATGGTAAAGAACTTATCCAAGCTTGTTTAGATTGTCACGATGTGCAAGTGTTTAAGCTGAAACCTTTAGAGAGACGCTGATGGATATTCGATGTCGCCAATGATGCGCTCCGAGAGCTCCATCAAAGTTTGATGACGCAAAAAAAGGAAACCGTTTCGACATTAAGATTTACAGGCCTAACCTGTGATTATAGTGAAACCTAACACGGATACTTTATGTGTAATCCTAGTTTTTCAATTAGCCCTATTTAAAAAAAAATGTATGCAATAATATTTCATGATCAGTTCATCAGCCTACTATGGAAACCTGTTTCAAAAAGGTAATTGTGACTTTTTATCTCACATTTCTTGTTCACATTGCGAGTTAAAAAGCTTAAACTGAGATCGAGTTGCACTTACCTTTGGTGACCGATCGAGCTTCCATACCGTAGAGTGTTTTCGTCATTATTACTTTAATTCAGTTCAGTGTCCGAGATCAGAACGCTTGCGCTCATGATGGAGTTTAAGAGAAATGAAAACAGTCGTGTGTGTCCGTCCTGCGGTTGGCAGTGTAAATGCTGCATCTACAGTCGGGGTGAAGAGACGTGACTTGTGGGTATTTCCCTCTCAGGTGGATGATCTCCTTCTGCTCGAGGAGAAGATTGATCTGGAGGTGCGTTCGCTAGAAACCTGCATGTACGAGCATAAGATGTTCACGGAGATCCTGAACCGCATCCAGAAGGCCGTCGATGACCTGAACCTGCACTCGTACTCCAATCTGCCCATCTGGGTCAACAAGCTGGACATCGAGGTCAGCAACTCCTCACCACACCTTTGTGGAAATATCACGCTACAATATTGCGGTACTTCATAAGGAGTAACTAGTTATGTTACCTAGTTACTTTTTATGGAAAGTATTGTTACTCCTTAAAATGATAACAATTGTTTAATTTTTTATGGAAAGTAATGTTACAATTTTGTGTTACTCCTTAAAATGGTAACTAATTACATTACGCAAAGTAATGCGTTACAATATTGCATTACTTCATTAAAAAGCAATAAATTGTTACTTATGTTAATTATGAGCGTAACCTGCACCCGTACTGTAATCTGCCCGTCTGGGTCAGTGAACGGCACATCGAGGCGAGCAACTACAATATTCCGTTATTTCATGAAAAGTAACTAATTATGTTACTTAGTTTCTTTTTATGGAAAGTAATGTTACAATATTGTTACACCTTACAATGGTAACAATAAGTTACTTTTTATGGAATGTTAGAATATTGAGTTTCTTCATAAAGTATCATTGTTTCTTAGTTACTTTTTATGGAAAGTATTGTTACTCCTTAAAATGATAATTACCGGTAGTTAATTTATGAAAAGTAATGTTACAATTTTGTCTTACTCATTAAAATGGTAACAATTAGTTACTTTTTATGTTAAGTAACGTTACAATATTGTTACGTCATTAAAAAGTAACAAATTATGTTAATTGTTAGTAATGAGCGTAACCTGCTCTCGTACTCTAATCTGCCCGTGGGTCAGTGAACGGCACATCGAGGCGAACAACTACAATATTCCGTTATTTCATGAAAAGTAACTAATTATGTTACTTAGTTTCTTTTTATGGAAAGTAATGTTACAATTTTGTCTTACTCCTTAAAATGGTAACAATTAGTTACTTTTTATGTTAAGTAACGTTACAATATTGTTACTTCATTAAAAAGTAACTAATTACATTAGTTTTTATGCAAAGTATTGCGTTACAATACTGCATTACTTCATTTAAAAAGTAACCAATTATGTTAATTGTTAGTTATGAGCGTAACCTGCTCCCGTACTGTAATCTGCCCGTGGGTCAGTGAAGTGCACATCGAGGCGAGTTCTGCTGGTCTGTCCGAGGGGCGTGTCCACTCACATGTGATCGTCTGTTCCGCAGATCGAGCGTATCCTTGGGGTGCGTCTGCAGGCGGGGCTCAAGGCCTGGACGCAGGTCCTGCGGGGACAGATGGAGGACAAGGCCGATGTGGACATGGACACGGAGGCGCCGCAGCTCAGCCACAAGCCGGGAGGAGACCCCAAGATTAAGGCAAGCGGCGCTGTGGAGTTATGAGCTCATCCAGTCAAGTCCGCTTTATTTCTATAGCGCTTTATACAAAACAGCATTTCACAGCAAGAAACAGGAAAATTATAACAATCAATCATGCAAATTCTATTAAGTTTTTATTCTGTCGTTATTCAGTTCAGTTCAGTTCAAGTGCAGTCGGATATAATATTAATCTCCAGCCGGATGTTTCCTAACGTCACTCTGAACTGTTTTCTCTGTCCAAACAGAATGTCATCCATGAATTGAGGATCACAAACCAGGTCATCTATCTGAACCCGCCGATCGAAGACTGCCGCTACAGGCTTTACCAGGAAATGTTCGCTTGGAAGATGGTCATTCTGTCTCTGCCCAGAATCCAGAGTCAGAGATATCAGGTGTGTGTGGTTAGCTCTGCGTCCGCTGTCAGTTTCCTGCACCTGCGCTAATGTTGGCTCTTTAAACAGGTCGGTGTTCACTACGAGTTATCCGAAGAGGAGAAGTTCTACAGGAACGCTCTGACCAGGATGCCCGACGGCCCGTCTGCCCTGGAGGAGGCGTATAACGCAGTGAAGGAGAACGTCTCCGAGGTGGAGCAGTACGTCAAGGTAGCGTCCTCCCTGTGAAGCAGCGAGTGTGTGTGTGCTGTGTTCCGTGTGAGTGTGTGTGCTGTGCTCCCCTGAACAGTGAGTCTGACTGCTCTGTCCTCAGGTGTGGCTGCAGTACCAGTGTCTGTGGGACATGCAGCCCGAGAACATCTACAACCGTCTGGGGGAAGACCTCAACAAGTGGCAGGCGCTGCTGGTGCAGATCCGCAAAGCTCGAGGCACGTTCGACAACGCCGAAACCAGGAAAGAGTTCGGGCCGGTCATCATCGACTACGGCAAGGTCAGAGATCGCTCCGTGAACAGGCAGTGTTGCTCCCTTAACGCATTACATTACTTTGTATGCAAAGTAATGTTAGAATATTAAGTTTCTTCATAAAAAATAACTAATTGCATTAATATTGTAACCATTAAAATTAACTAATTGCATTACTTTTTAGGCAAAGTAATGCGTTACAGTATTAATGCAATTAGTTAATTTTTATGAAGAAACTCAATATTGTAACATTACTTTCCATAAAAAGTAACTTAGTAACTTAATTTGTTACTTTTTTATGAAATGCCTTAAAATTGTAACGCATTACTTTGCCTAAAAAGTGAGTTATTTCATAAAAAAGTAACAAATTATGTTACTAAGTTACTTTTTATAGTAAGTAATGTTACAATACTGTTACTTCATTAAAAGTATCCAAATATGTTACTTAGTTACTTTTTGTGGATGGTAATGTTACAATATTGTGTTACTTCATTAAAAAGTAACTAATTATGTTACTTTTTATGGAAAGTATTGTTACTCTTTAAAATTATAACAATTAGTTACTTTTTTATGGATAGTAATGTTACAATATTGTTACTTCATAAAAAGTACCTTATTACATTGTGTTACAATATTGTGTTACTCCTTATAAAGGTAACAACTAGTTACTTTTTATGGAGAGCAATGTAAAAATATTGTTACTTCATAAAAAGTATAAAATTATGTTACTTAGTTTCTTTTTATGGATAGTAATGTTACAATGTGTTACTTTTTAAAAAGTAACTCACTATGTTACTTTTTATGGAAAGCAATGTGATATTGTAAAATAAAGATGTCGTTACTCTCTAAAAGTGTGTATTGTAACGTGTGGTGTAGGTCCAGTCGAAGGTGAACCTGAAGTACGACTCGTGGCATAAGGAGGTGCTCAGCAAGTTCGGGCAGATGCTGGGCAACAACATGCAGGACTTCCACTCCCAGATCTCCAAGGTGTGTGCGAGCTCTGGCTCATGGGAACGCCATGTTTGTGTGCGCAAGTGAATTTGTCTGATCTTTTGTACGGTCTTCCAGTCTCGCCAAGAACTGGAGCAGCATTCGGTGGACACGGCCAGCACCTCTGACGCCGTGACCTTCATCACGTACGTGCAGACGCTGAAGCGCAAGATCAAGCAGTTCGAGAAGCAAGTGGACGTGAGTACAGCGGCCCGTTCAGATGCACACGTGCGGTTCTGTGGATGTTGTGATGTCATGAAGCCTCTGGTCCGCAGGTGTTCCGCAACGGCCAGCGTCTGCTGGAGAAGCAGCGCTTCCAGTTCCCGCCCTCGTGGCTCTACATCGACAACATCGAGGGGGAGTGGGGCGCCTTCAGTGACATCATGAAGCGCAAAGACACGGCCATTCAGCAGCAGGTGGCCAACCTCCAGATGAAGATCGTGCAGGAGGACCGAGCGGTGGAGAACCGCACCACTGACCTGCTGTCCGACTGGGAGAAGACCAAACCAGTGGGGGTACGTGTGTGTTCAGGTGTCCTCTGAGTGTGTGTGTGTGTGTGTGTCTCGGGGCAGGTTCAGGTGTGTTCAGGTGTGTGTGTGTCACAGGTGTTCAGGTATCCTCTGAGTGTGTGTCTCAGGGGTGTTCAGGTGTCGTGTGTGTGTCTCAGGTGTTCAGGTGTCCTCTGAGTGTGTGTGTGTGTGTGTGTGTGTCTGCAGGGCAGTCTGCGTCCAGAGGAGGCGCTGCAGTCGCTTACCATCTACGAGGGCAAGTTTGGGCGTCTGAAAGATGACCGTGAGAACTGTGCGAAGGCCAAGGAGGCGCTGGAGCTGACGGACACGGGCCTGCTGAGCAGCAGCGAGGAGCGAGTGCAGGTGTGTGTGTGAATCTGCTGCAGTGGAGACCTCGGACTCGCTCACCGCCTTTAAAGATGGCCATCTACAGACGCTGATAGATGCAATCACACAAACACTGGTTTTCCTTCTAGTCTGAAAGAAAATGACCAATGCATGAAAATACTATGATTGTGCCGGTAGTGTCACTTGTATGTTAATCTTTTGGAATTAGCTTTATATATTTTTGTTTTCAGTTTTTTCACCCGTCACTGTGAGCTGTTATGTGCGCGCCGGCGCCTCGTAGCGCTCCGCTAACGTGTGTGTGTGTGTCAGGTGGCTCTGGAGGAGCTGCAGGATCTGAAGGGCGTGTGGTCCGAGCTGTCGAAGGTGTGGGAGCAGATCGACCAGATGAAGGAGCAGCCGTGGGTCTCGGTGCAGCCGCGCAAGGTTAGCCGCGCTCCCGTCGTCTCGACTCCCGCGCGTGTCGAGGGTTAGCTTCACTGACTCGTGTTCTCGCTCCCCACAGCTGCGGCAGAATCTGGACGGGCTCCTGAACCAGCTGAAGAACTTCCCCGCCCGCCTGCGCCAGTACGCCTCGTACGAGTACGTGCAGCGGCTGCTCAAGGGCTACATGAAGGTGAGCCGGTCCTGCACGCTAGCAGGCGCTCATGCTAGTTAGGAGACGCTGCTTCTAAACCTTTGCATTGTTTTGAACCAGTGATTTGGAGCGGGTTCCAAACTGTCAAAGTCACATGATTTCAGGAAACTAGGCTTCGTCACGTCATTACGGTTTCTAAACGTTTGGTAATTTCAGTGGTTCGCCACTTAGGGGAGATGATCTCTGTGAACCACTGAACCAGTTTCTAAATGATTTATACCTTTTCTATATGTTTTAATGTACAATAAAAGAAAGAGTTGTAGTTAATGGGCATTGTCAGAGTTTCGGATGAATTGATTTAAAGATGGTAAAGTTTCTCCCATGACTTGTTGGTCTCAGGTGAACATGCTGGTGATCGAGCTGAAGTCGGAGGCGCTGAAGGACCGGCACTGGAAGCAGCTGATGAAGCGTCTGCATGTGAACTGGGTTCTGTCGGAGCTGAGTCTGGGCCAGATCTGGGACGTGGACCTGCAGAAGAACGAGATGGTGGTGAAGGACGTGTTGCTGGTGGCTCAGGGGGAGATGGCCCTCGAGGAGTTCCTCAAACAGGTGCACACACACACACACACACACACACACTCACACACACACACTCACACACACTCACTCACACACACTCACACACACTCACACACACTCACACACACTCACACACACTCACACACACTCACACACACTCACACACACACGCCTCTGCACTTCCATTTGTCTCAACATAAGGACAAGACTCAAATACTCAATACTTGTAATGAGTTCCCCATCGCTGTGTTCAAACGCTGCTTCCGGTGTCCTGCAGATCCGAGAAGTGTGGAACTCGTACGAGCTCGATCTGGTCAACTATCAGAACAAGTGTCGTCTGATCCGCGGATGGGACGATCTGTTCAACCGGGTCAAGGAGCACATCAACAGTGTGTCTGCCATGAAGCTCTCCCCGTACTACAAGGTGCCACTCACCCCAGCTCATCTGCACTTCCTCTCAGTCGGGAGGCCATCTTTCCGAATCACACGATTCCATTCCAAATTTCAATTTGAATAAATCTGTTTGTCCGCAGGTGTTCGAGGAAGACGCTCTGAGCTGGGAGGACAAGCTGAACCGCATCATGGCGCTGTTCGACGTGTGGATCGACGTGCAGCGCCGATGGGTTTACCTGGAGGGCATCTTCACCGGCAGCGCAGACATCAAACACCTGCTCCCCGTGGAGACCCAGCGCTTCCAGAGGTCAGAGGTCAAACACATGCACTGAACTGGTGTGCTGCCGCTCTCAGGCTGTGGACTGAACATGTGACCCGTGTGCTTTACAGCATCAGCACGGAGTTCCTGGCTCTGATGAAGAAGGTGACCAAGTCTCCTCTGGTCATGGACGTCCTGAACATCCAGGGGGTTCAGAGGTCACTGGAGAGACTGGCCGATCTGCTGGGGAAGATCCAGAAGGCACTGGGAGAATATCTGGAGAGGGAGCGCTCGTCTTTCCCCAGGTCAGCCGCTCATTAGACATGAGGGATCATGGGAATGAAACCCAGAAGATAACAGATGATAGTTCCTTTTAGTGTGGTTTTGATTAGTGTTCATTTTGCCAAAACTGAGGAAATGTTAGGGACGCACCGATGTTAATATTTTGGCTGATACCGATAATTCTTTATATTTGAAAGCCGATAACGATATATTGGCTGATTAAATCTAAATACAAATGATTACAAAAACAAAACTCACTTTTAAAAGCCATGTCCCAAACACACAGTTATAATGATGTTCTCATGATGATGTTATACAGCCGATATGACAGGCTGGCTGCACATGTTGCACTTTAACTATATTTTCCTTTTTGAAGCGATTTCAATCATATTTCAAGCAGTTTAACACCATCATGTAGAACAGCATCTCAAGCGTCTCAGCTGAAGGAATAATGCATTATTTATCCGCTTTAATATATCGGACACAGTGGCGTAGCAAGTCAGTCCCGGGCCCATATGCAAAAAAAATGTGTATGGGCCCCCCTAACCCTGCCCCCGAAGTACATTGAGATTCATTTGAAATGGTGTATGTATGACACGCCAATTAGTATTTCCATTTTTGGCGTGCTATCAACACACATAATCGCTTTTCAGCGTGTTTATCAACGCCGTTGACTTAACGTTACATTACTGTATATAAATATATGACCTAACAGTTACCCCAACCCCCGTCCCTAAACCTACCCGTCACTGGGGTTAATACTGTTTATGAGTCTTCCCCTACCATCCTAGGAACAAAAATATTGCTCCACAGATGTAGATATGAATTTTGCTTCGTTTCGCTCGGACATTTAACGGCGTACACATACACGCAAAAGATGACGGTTCGTTTCGGCGTGGACATACACGCGGATAGCTCAAAATGTGTATAGATAACACGCCACTTGACTTGAAAGTGGCGTGTATGTTTACGCAAAGTCATGATGTCATGTTGCATTTATAGACGTTCACGGTAGTGTATCAAGAAAATACCATACCAAACAATACCATGAAAAACACTCTACCCAACAACTTTTCACAACCAGAACGAAACAAAAACAAGTCTAAAACCAACCAAGGCTCAGCCAATGTCAATAATAAACTACTGATCTTGGCACCGCGGCCCAAAATGTAAAAAAAACATAAAACTACTTACTCATTTAGTTGCATTCTCCGGGCCTTTCTTTCGGCAAATTCATCCACGAGCACGATGTCATTGGTGTTTAATTCATGGCTTTGTGCATTCTCAATGGAAATAATTGCCAGTCCCGATAGTCTGTTTATTAGCTTCAGTTTTGAAAATGAGGGCTCCGCTGAAGCAACAGTAGGGATGGTAAGAAAGAGAACTAAACCGGTCTATTTTAGGTAGTTTTTGTGTCGCAACTAACTTCTCCACCTTCTTTTTTCTCTTTAAGGCCCCACTTTTATGTTTGTATTTTTCCATCCTTTAATGTTCAATTAGCTAGCGTCTAGTAACCTCTCTCACACTGTGTTTTCTTTTTTTAATTTGACGCGGCGATGCCGTAAAAAATGACGGTACAGTTCTACGGCAGCCGCGGGGTGCAAAAAATAATAAACGCATAATAAATGCACACAAGAAATGACGGAGAAATTAGACATTATGGAGAAACAAGAAATGATTACACATGACATGCATACAAAAAAATATATTTATTGTGGCTACACTTTAAAAATGAATGAACTCGTTTTAATTAAAAGTTCCCCATGGGCGGGCCCCCTATCGGCCCGGGCCCATTTGCACGTGCATACCCTGCATGCCCAGACGCTACGCCACTGATCCGACACATTTTCTTATCGGCCCGATAACGATAACATTGATCATATTTCGATACGGATATGGTGGGCGATATATCATGCGTCACCAGACTACTCGTCAACCTAAGCCTGACTAAACGAAAACAGGATAGATTGGCTAATTATGATGAAAACGTGAGGAGATTTGACGCAGGACTAAAGGCCGCTGGCACGATGAACACTAGTTACTGTGACGTCTAGGAAGGGCTAACCGGCGAGTTGCTGAAGAAACTGCTTTCTAAATTGTGCATATTAGTAGTTATTGCTCTGCCAAATATGTTGGTTGTGTCGCTTGTCAAGCGTCAGAGACTCGTTGCTGTTCCTGCAGGTTCTACTTCGTGGGCGATGAGGATCTGCTGGAGATCATTGGCAACAGCAAGAACGTGGCCAAACTGCAGAAGCACTTCAAGAAGATGTTTGCAGGCGTGTCCAGCATCCTGCTGAACGAGGACAGCACTGAGGTCCTGGGCATCTCGTCCCGCGAGGGGGAGGAGGTGCGGCGCAGTCACACACACACACACACACACACACACGCTTATATACGGCTTTATTCAGGGCCGATCGCTCAACCCTCATCCTTCCCTCGCACTCGAACACATCTCCCCTCGCCGGTCAAGATGACCCGAAGCCCGAAAATTATACAGAATTTTTTTTTTTTGTCGAGAAAGCTTATTTCATTCTTTTTTGGGGGAGATTTAAAAAAAAATTGATTTACCTTTTTAAATGACTAGATTTGATCAATAAATAATATTAATTTAAGCACATTCCTCAGATTATTTCAACTGAAATTGAAAATAACTCTTTCATGCATAACCCTTTTCAATTCAGCTCTAAATATCTGACATTGGGCGTCTTTGACCTCTTGTGGAAAATAATAATATAAGATGATATCTTATGACTCTAGATGGGCTTATAGCTCTAAATGGAGCAAGAGCTGTTCCGCTGGGTCCTAAAGTCAGTTCGCTTCAGTGTGCATTCACATACACATGCAATAACTGTTTAGTAAAGTTTTAGCAATTTTAGTTTAAATTGAGCATTTTTATGTTTTTCTACGTGAACTGAAGCGTTCCACTCATTCCTAAGGGGCTCAAAATGACCCGAGAGGGAAGGACTTGTTACTTTTTTATATTTCAACCACAAAATTCCTCAAATCCATTCAATTTTAGTGTGTGTATTTGTGGTTCAAGTGCGACAAAAGTCCTGGGGTCTCGGACCCTCTGATGAACACTCAAAGTTTTTAAAAGACGAGTTTTGGGTCTAAATGGCCCGAGGGAAGGATGGGTAAAGCAGCTTCACCGTAATAAACTGTTGCTCAGCTCAGTCCCGGTGACGTGCTGTTCTGTTCAGCTCAGTCCCGGTGAAGTTCAGTTCAGCTCAGTCCCGGTGAGCTGCTGTTCTGCTGTGTTCAGGTGTTCTACAAGACGGCGGTGTCCATCACGGAGCATCCGAAGATCAACGAGTGGCTGACGCTGGTGGAGCGTGAGATGCGTGTGACGCTAGCCAAGCTGCTAGCCGAGTCCGTGACGGAGGTGGCCGCCTTCAACAAGGGCAGCGGCATCGACCTGAGCACATACCTGCACTGGATCGACCGATACCAGGTGACCTCGCGTCACATGACCTCTAATCCCGTCTCTGCTGCGTTCACACTGTCAGTCCACGTACCATTATTTGTGAATCCGATTGGAATCTGATCTGAAATTATTGACGTCCACACTGGCTACGCTTACATGCACGACTTTAGTTTCAATCGGACTGAATTCCGTGTTTACATGAACGCTGAACATGTGATCGGGTTGGTGTGTGTGTTCGTGTATCTCAAGCTTCAGATCGGGGTAGAATTTTTGATATGCGCCTGAAACGGGTTTCCAGATTTGTTTTGCTGTTCACATTAGCTAATTCTGATCTGATTTTCAATCGGATATGCACAAAAATCGGATTCGGACTGACTGAACGTAGCCTGAGACGCGGCACACGTCACATGACCTCTAAACCCCTCCTCCGCTGCGTTCAGGCCCAGCTGGTGGTTCTGTCGACCCAGATCGACTGGTCCGAGAACGTGGAGAACGCGCTGACCACGATCGCCGGCGGAGAGAACATGGATCCGCTTCAGGCCGTGCTAGTGAACGTGGAGGCGACGCTAAACCTGCTAGCAGACACCGTCCTGATGGAGCAGCCGCCGCTGCGCAGGAGGAAGCTGGAGCATCTGGTGAGTGTGTGTGTGTGTGTGTGTGTGTGTGTTAAAGTAATGGAGATCTGTTGTAACTAGGGGTGTAACGATTCCCTCATGTCACAATTCAATACATAATTATTGTGACAATATAATTGGGATACTCCCAGACACATGATTAAAGGTTAACAAAAAATGTACTGTTGATTTAAAATGCTAAATTTGATATTAACATTGTGTGTGTAAATGAATAGACTTGGACTCAGTGCTGGAAACCCAACGCTGGACAATAGAGACGCCAGAATAACTATATTCATGATTCTGAAGCTGAAATACAGGATTATTTTACACGAATATGCTTTACATTATTTTAAATATATCTAGTCCGTGACCGAGTCTAGGCCACTTTCACTGGTAACATCAGACATTAGCATTATCAGGACCCACAAATATTCCCCACTGCATTATTATGCATTATATTCAATATTATATAGTAGTTTAATCTAGTACTGACACTAAAACTCAAAACATGAATACTCTACACACAGTAATTTTTATTTTGGATGAACTTTACACGATACATATTGTTGAATTTTTGATTTGCGATATATTGACACCCCGAGTTGTGACTTGTATTTTCCAACGTTGGCTCACGGGCACTGAAGGCAAACCTGTTGTTCCCAGATCACGGAGCTGGTGCACCAGAGAGACGTGACCCGAGCTCTGATCAGGAACAAGATCGACAACCCGAAGTCGTTCGAGTGGCTGAGTCAGATGCGCTTCTACTTCGACCCGAAGCAGACGGACGTCCTGCAGCAGCTCTCCATCCAGATGGCCAACGCCAAGTTCAACTACGGCTTCGAGTACCTGGGCGTGCAGGACAAGCTGGTGCAGACGCCGCTGACGGACCGCTGCTACCTGACCATGACCCAGGCGCTGGAGGCCCGGCTCGGGGGCTCGCCCTTCGGTGCGTGCGCAGCGTCACTACACTGATAATGAGCTCGTTGAAAATACGCCCAATGGAGATGCGTCAATCTCGCAAAAACTCCCATATATGGCGAAACAGTGTTAACGCTCGCATGAGGTGTTTTTCAGGCAGTTCGAAACATTGATATTTCACAAAACTGCAATGGAAACAGCATTTACAGTCACCTGGCGTTGGTATAATTCGATCATTCTTAAAGAAGGCGCGGCATTGGACAGAAGACGAGGCAGAGTTCTTTATTAAACTCATAAAAGACAAAAGTATCACAGGAATACTGGAGTCTAACCCACGGAGAAACGCCACGCCTGATGGAGATCTGAGTGAGGAACGCCACGCTCGAGCATAAGGAGCTTGTCTTGGCACTAGTGCCCGTGTAAACGCCAGTCTCCTGCGATCAGGAGTAATGCTAGTGCGGTGGATAAACCTGAACTCGCCAACATCCGCTGACATGCTTTTTGGAATTAAGAAAAAATTATGTTTTAGTCGCATAACATCGGTTAACGGAAACGCCGGCATTTCACTAGAGTTTTTATTGACATTTAGAAAATATCGCAAACGTTTTGCTCAAATCTGTAATGGAAACGCGGCTAGCATCTGCTGTTCCTCCCAGTATCCAGTGTGCAGTGCTGACGCCAGTCTCCATCTATACAGCGCTTCAGAAGTGTGTGTGTAACCGCGAGCCGTGTGTGTGTAATCTTCAGAAGTGTGTGTGTAACCGCGAGCCGTGTGTGTGTAATCTTCAGAAGTGTGTGTGTAACCGCGAGCCGTGTGTGTGTAATCTTCAGAAGTGTGTGTGTAACCGCGAGCCGTGTGTTGCAGGTCCTGCCGGCACGGGGAAGACGGAGTCGGTGAAGGCTCTCGGACACCAGCTGGGCCGCTTCGTGCTGGTCTTCAACTGCGACGAGACCTTCGACTTCCAGGTGCGTAACAGCGCTCTCTCACACAGGGGCCGCGGGTGCTCGATGCGCTCTCTCTCACACAGGGTCCGCGGGTGCTCGATGCGCTCTCTCTCACACAGGGTCCGCGGGTGCTCGATGCGCTCTCTCTCACACAGGGTCGGCGGGTGCTCCATCCTGTTTGTGTCCATTGAGTTTGTGAATCTGGAAAATAAAATGTCAAGGCCCTGGAAAGTTTTTGAATAAACACGCACAGATACTGGCTCTTTAAAAGTGCTTGTTTATTTTGTGCCATATTTTTCCCTCCGCTAATGTGTTATTCCGCTAGCTCTGCGCGGCCTATGCGCACTAGCGCGCTTGATTTACGCTAGTTACGCACATTTCCGCGTGAGGTACTTTGGTGTGTGTGAGTTCCGCTGTGCTTGACGTGTGGCCTCTTGCAGGCGATGGGCCGCATCTTCGTGGGCCTGTGTCAGGTGGGAGCCTGGGGCTGCTTCGACGAGTTCAACCGCCTGGAGGAGCGCATGCTGTCCGCCGTCTCCCAGCAGGTGCAGTACATCCAGGTGGCGCTGCGGGAGCACATCAACCCCAACCGAGACCGCAGTACGTACCACACACACACACACACACACACATAACCAGACACGCACGACCAGACACACACAACCGAGACCGCAGTGCGTACCACACACACATAACCAGACACGCACGACCAGACACACACAACCGAGACCGCAGTACGTACCACACACAGACACACACACACATAACCAGACACGCACGACCAGACACACACAACAGAGACCGCAGTACGTAACGCACACACACACACAACAGAGACCGCAGTACGCACAACCAGACACACACAACCAGACACACTCAACAGAGACTACAGTACATACAACCAGACACACACACACACACACACAACCAGACCGTTAGCGTCATCTGAAGTCTTGTGTGCTCAGGTGTGTGTGCTCAGGTGTGTGTGCTCAGGTGTGTGTGCTCAGGTGTGTGTGCTCAGGTGTGTGTGCTCAGGTGTGTGTGCTCAGGTGTGTGTGCTCAGGTGTGTGTGCTCAGGTGTGTGTGCTCAGGTGTGTGTGCTCAGGTGCGTGTGCTCAGGTGCGTGTGCTCAGGTGCGTGTGCTCAGGTGTGTGTGCTCAGGTGCGTGTGCTCAGGTGTGTGTGCTCAGGTGTGCCCGCTCTTGTGTGTGCTCAGGTGTGTGTGCTCAGGTGTGTGTGCTCAGGTGTGTGTGCTCAGGTGTGTGTGCTCAGGTGTGTGTGCTCAGGTGTGTGTGCTCAGGTGTGTGTGCTCAGGTGTGTGTGCTCAGGTGTGCCCGCTCTTGTGTGTGCTCAGGTGTGTGTGCTCAGGTGTGTGTGCTCAGGTGTGTGTGCTCAGGTGTGTGTGCTCAGGTGTGTGTGCTCAGGTGCGTGTGCTCAGGTGCGTGCGCTCAGGTGTGTGTGCTCAGGTGCGTGCGCTCAGGTGCGTGTGCTAAGGGCTGTGTGCTCAGGTGCGTGCGCTAAGGGGTGTGTGGTCAGGTGTGTGTGCTCAGGTGTGTGTGCTCAGGTGTGTGTGCTCAGGTGTGTGTGCTCAGGTGTGTGTGCTCAGGTGTGTATGCTCAGGTGTGTGTCCTCAGGTGTGTGTGCTCAGGTGTGCGTGCTCAGGTGTGCGTGCTCAGGTGTGCGTGCTCAGGTGTGCGTGCTCAGGTGTGCGTGCTCAGGTGTGTGTGCTCAGGTGTGTGTGCTCAGGTGTGTGTGCTCAGGTGTGTGTGCTCAGGTGTGCCCGCTCTTGTGTGTGTGTGCTCAGGTGTGTGTGCTCAGGTGTGTGCGCTCAGGTGTGTGCGCTCAGGTGTGTGCGCTCAGGTGTGTGCGCTCAGGTGTGTGCGCTCAGGTGTGTGTGCTCAGGTGTGTGTGCTCAGGTGTGTGTGCTCAGGTGTGCCCGCTCTTGTGTGTGTTCAGGTGTGTATGCTCAGGTGTGCCCGCTCTTGTGTGTGCTCAGGTGTGCCCGCTCTTGTGTGTGTGTGCTCAGGTGTGCCCGCTCTTGTGTGTGTTCAGGTGTGTATGCTCAGGTGTGCCCGCTCTTGTGTGTGTTCAGGTGTGTATGCTCAGGTGTGCCCGCTCTTGTGTGTGCTCAGGTGTGTGTGCTCAGGTGTGTGTGCTCAGGTGTGTGTGCTCAGGTGTGTGTGCTCAGGTGTGTGTGCTCAGGTGTGTGTGCTCAGGTGTGTGTGCTCAGGTGTGTGTGCTCAGGTGTGTGTGCTCTTGTGTGTGTGCTCAGGTGTGCCTGCTCTTGTGTGTGCTCAGGTGTGTGTGCTCAGGTGTGTGTGCTCAGGTGTGCCCGCTCTTGTGTGCTCAGTTGTGCGTGCTCAGGTGTGTGTGCTCAGGTGTGTGTGCTCAGGTGTGTGTGCTCAGGTGTGTGTGCTCAGGTGTGCCCGCTCTTGTGTGTGTGTGCTCAGGTGTGTGTGCTCAGGTGTGTGTGCTCAGGTGTGTGTGCTCAGGTGTGTGTGCTCAGGTGTGCCCGCTCTTGTGTGTGTTCAGGTGTGTATGCTCAGGTGTGCCCGCTCTTGTGTGTGCTCAGGTGTGTGTGCTCAGGTGTGTGTGCTCAGGTGTGCCCGCTCTTGTGTGTGTGTGCTCAGGTGTGTGTGTGCTCAGGTGTGCCCGCTCTTGTGTGTGTTCAGGTGTGTATGCTCAGGTGTGCCCGCTCTTGTGTGTGCTCAGGTGTGTGTGCTCAGGTGTGTGTGCTCTTGTGTGTGATCAGGTGTGCCCGCTCTTGTGTGTGTTCAGGTGTGTATGCTCAGGTGTGCCCGCTCTTGTGTGTGCTCAGGTGTGTGTGCTCAGGTGTGTGTGCTCTTGTGTGTGATCAGGTGTGCCCGCTCTTGTGTGTGTTCAGGTGTGTATGCTCAGGTGTGCCCGCTCTTGTGTGTGCTCAGGTGTGTGTGCTCAGGTGTGTGTGCTCAGGTGTGTGTGCTCAGGTGTGTGTGCTCAGGTGTGTGTGCTCAGGTGTGTGTGCTCAGGTGTGTGTGCTCAGGTGTGTGTGCTCAGGTGTGTGTGCTCAGGTGTGTGTGCTCAGGTGTGTGTGCTCAGGTGTGTGTGCTCAGGTGTGTGTGCTCAGGTGTGTGTGCTCAGGTGTGTGTGCTCTTGTGTGTGCTCAGGTGTGCCTGCTCTTGTGTGTGCTCAGGTGTGTGTGCTCAGGTGTGTGTGCTCAGGTGTGTGTGCTCAGGTGTGCCCGCTCTTGTGTGTGTTCAGGTGTGTGTGTTCAAGTCAAGTCAAGTCAAGTCACATTTATTTATATAGCGCTTTTCACAATACAGATTGCATCAAAGCAGCTTCACAGTGATAACATGAAAGTAGTACAACACAGTTCAATAATATTGTTGAATATTAAATATCCCCAACTAAGCAAGCCAAAAGCAAGGCGACAGTGGCAAGGAACCAAAACTCCATCAGATTGGATGGAGAAAAAAACCTTGGGAGAACCCAGGCTAGTCAGGGGCCAGTTCTCCTCTGGCTAACAATCATAGGGTTTTAAAGAAGCTTTACAGTAAGTGCATATCAGAGAGTACCTGGAAAAAATACATTTAGTTAATCATGTAATATTTAGGGGATAACATATCGCCGGCGTTGAGTCGTCTCTTCGCAGGCGTCGAGTCGTCTCTTCACAGGCGTTGGTCTTCTCATCACAGGCGTTGAGGCATCCGAAATCCCCGTGAGAGGCAGGATACCAAACTGGAGCCTACGAACGCCATTTTTCTCGGGACAAGCGTCCCGAGATAACAGCAGAAAGGCAGATGGGAAAAAAATTAGCATAGCTGATGTTCATAATGATTTCCATTACACGGGAGTAGGTGTTAGAAAACCATAATCTCACAACTCTCCGCAACCCAAACTCTCCGCAACCCAACCGCAACCATACGGACCGACCCGTTTGTCTATAAGGCTGTCGAGCCCCACTGGTGCGTTAAGCAGTTTCAGTGGCAAACGGTTCCGTATGGCATAGCAGAGGACTAAAAGGTAAGCATTATGTGAATGCTTGACTAAAGAGACACGTCTTTAGTCTAGTTTTAAACTGTGTCAGCGAGTCAGAGCATCGGACCGTATCGGGAAGGCTATTCCAGAGTTTTGGAGCTAAATGCGAGAATGCCCTCCCTCCTTTAGTGGACTTCGATATCCTAGGAATGACCAGAAGCCTCGAATTTAGTGATCTTAGAGAACGCGGTGGATTGTAGGGCGAAAGAAGGTCCGTTAAGTACACAGGAGCTAAACCATTAAGGGCTTTATAGGTCAGTAGTAGTACTTTGTAATTGATACGGAACTTAATAGGTAACCAGTGCAGAGATGATAAAATCGGTGTTATATGATCATATTTTCTTGACCTAGTAAGAACTCTAGCGGCTGCATTTTGCACTAACTGTAGCTTGTTTATTGAGGATGCAGGACAACCAGCTAATAAAGCATTACAGTAATCTAGTCTCGAGGTCATGAATGCATGAACTAACTTTTCTGCATCAGAAACAGATAGCATGTTACGTAATTTAGCAATGTTTCTAAGATGGAAAAAGGCTGTTCTTGTAACAGATGAAATATGATTTTCGAAAGACAAGTTGTGGTCTAGTATAACACCCAGGTCTTTTACTGTAGTGGAAAAAGTAACAGGGCATCCTTCTATATTAAAGTCGTATTGTAAGAGGTTTTGTGTGTAGTTTTTTGGACCAATAAGTAATACCTCCGTTTTATCTAAATTTAATAGCAGGAAATTTCGCGTCATCCAGCATTTTATATCTTTGAGACATTCTGTCAATTTAGATGAGGTAATGTTTTCATCTGGTCGTGATGAAATATATAATTGAGTGTCGTCAGCATAACAGTGGAAATTAATTCCATGTTTTCTTATAATATTACCAAGTGGCAGCATATATATTGAGAATAGCAGAGGGCCTAGCACCGATCCTTGCGGTACTCCATAGTCTACTGACGTCAACTTAGATTTTCCCCCGTGTAAAGAGACAAAATGATAACGGTCAGATAAGTACGATCTAAACCAGCTTAATGCCTGTCCCTGAACACCAGTGTAGATTTGTAGTCGATCCAAGAGTATTTTATGATCTATAGTGTCGAACGCGGCGCTAAGATCAAGTAGGACTAGTATTGAGATACAGCCTTGATCCGAAGCTAAGAGTAGATCATTTGTAATTTTAACTAGCGCAGTTTCTGTACTATGATGCGGTCTGAATCCTGACTGGAATTTTTCATAGATATCATTTTCTTGCAAAAAAGAGCACAGTTGAGCGGATACAACTTTTTCTAGTATTTTGGACATAAATGGAAGATTTGAAATGGGTCTGTAATTTGCTAGGTTATTTGGATCTAGTTGCGGTTTCTTAATGAGAGGTTTTATTACTGCCAACTTGAATATTCTTGGAACATGACCCAAGAATAAACAATTTGAGTTCAGGTGTGTGTGTTCAGGTGTGTGTGTTCAGGTGTGTGTGCTCTTGTGTGTGTTCAGGTGTGTGTGCTCAGGTGTGTGTGCTCTTGTGTGCCCGCTCTTGTGTATGATCAGGTGTGTGTGCTCAGGTGTGTGTGCTCAGGTGTGTGTGCTCAGGTGTGCCCGCTCTTGTGTGTGATCAGGTGTGTGTGCTCAGGTGTGCCCGCTCTTGTGTGTGCTCAGGTGTGTGTGATCAGGTGTGTGTGCTCAGGTGTGCCCGCTCTTGTGTGTGTTCAGGTGTGCCCGTGACCACTGAGCTGCTGAACAAGCAGGTGAAGGTGAGTGCTGACATGGCCATCTTCATCACCATGAACCCTGGGTACGCCGGACGCTCCAACCTGCCGGATAACCTGAAGAAGCTGTTCCGGAGTCTGGCCATGACCAAGCCGGACCGGCAGCTGATCGCGCAGGTCATGCTTTACTCGCAGGGCTTCCGCACCGCAGAGATCCTCGCCAAGAAGATCGTGCCGTTCTTCAAGTACGCAGCGCCGCCGAGAGCCGTTGCCCCGCCGCGGTGAGCTCGTAGTAACCCCGCTCTGCTCTCGTTCCAGGTTGTGTGACGAGCAGCTGTCGTCTCAGTCTCACTACGACTTCGGCCTGCGTGCGCTCAAGAGCGTGCTGATCAGCGCCGGCAACGTCAAGCGAGAGCGCATCCAGAAGATCAAGCGGGAGAAGGGCGAGCGCGGCGAGGTCGTGGACGAGAACGAGATCGCAGAGAACCTTCCGGAGCAGGAGGTAAGATGAGCCGAGGAGAGACCAGTGCTGGAGTTTAGAATCTGACCTCTGACCTGGCCTTGTGCCCTCGATCCTCAGATCCTGATCCAGAGTGTGTGTGAGACGATGGTGCCGAAGCTGGTGGCGGAGGACATCCCTCTGCTGTTCAGTCTGCTGTCGGACGTGTTCCCCGGCGTCCAGTACATGCGCGGCGAGATGACGGCGCTGCGGGACGAGCTGAAGAAGGTCTGTGCCGAGATGTACCTGACGTACGGAGACGGAGACGACGTGGGCAGCATGTGGGTGGAGAAGGTGAGATACGCTGATCCGTGACCCTGTGTTTAGTGCAGTGTGGGTTAGGGCTGGCTCAATTTGAAATTCTTTCTTAAATATTAGCAAAATTCAATTTATATTTGAATTAAAAAGGCAATGCTTCATGTTAGAGGATAAGAGTTCTGTATCGTCTCCTGTGTCCACAAGAGGGTGCAAGCAATTATTAATTTCTGTACCTGAATACTGTTAGACTTTGTAACTTTATTTAGTTTTCATCTCTGCTTGTAATTTGAGTTTTTTTATTCGATGAATATTTGAAATTGCCATTTTAGTTTGACGGCTGTCGTGTGAATCCCTGGTCTCCCTCAGGTCCTGCAGCTGTACCAGATCACCCAGATCAACCACGGGCTGATGATGGTGGGCCCGTCGGGCAGTGGGAAGACCATGGCCTGGAGGGTTCTGCTGAAGGCCCTGGAGCGGCTCGAGGGCCTGGAGGGCGTGGCGCACATCATCGACCCCAAGGCCATCAGCAAAGACCACCTGTACGGCACGCTGGACCCCAACACGCGCGAGTGGACTGACGGGCTCTTCACACACGTGCTCCGCAAGTGAGTGTGTCCGGGGTGAAGCGCAAACCCGTGCGCAGCGCTGTGCTACGGTTTCGGGGTTAAACGACATGTTTCCTGGAAACGGGGGTTTGAGAAACGTTCTCTTGTTTGGTGGGTGTGTCAATGTCCAATCAGCAGCAGCGTGTGTGTAAAGCACGCGGTGTTAAAGAGACGGCTCGCGCAGCGGGTCCAAAGTCCTCTGCACACGTGTCCTGCAGCTCGGGATACACAACACTGAAGATATCAGAAGACATGTTCGTCGTAACAGTTCTATAGTAAAAATATAGCATATCAACAGTGATCAGCAATAATGCTAAGGCTAATTCTCACAATAACAATAAGGTCATTTGGATCATAACAGCTTCTCGGAGGTGAAAAGTGGACTATCCTTCACCTGTGGTGTTTGTCTTTTCATCCTGAAATGAGGCAAATGTTGGATCACAATAATTAGGACCCGCAGTTTCACCAATCCCTTCCCTCGAGTGGGATGTTCTGTTATTCGCATCGAGCGGGTTCTGCAGTATTACACGCATTTATACCGAGTTCACCAGGCTCTGAATATTCCCCATTAGAGCAGAATGGCCTCCTCAGCTCTCGCCTCACCAGGGCAGGGGGCTCAACACCGCTTCGGTTTAACAAACGTTTTGCAACTTTTTGTCTTGGCTGAACGCAGCCTGTGTGTGTGTGATCTCTCGATCTCATGCTGTGTGTGTGTGTGTGTGCAGGATCATTGATAACGTGCGTGGAGAGCTGCAGAAGAGGCAGTGGATCATCTTCGACGGCGATGTGGATCCCGAGTGGGTGGAGAACCTGAACTCTGTGCTGGACGACAACAAGCTCCTGACTCTGCCCAACGGAGAGCGCCTCAGCCTGCCGCCCAACGTACGCCCCTGTACACCTCGAGAACATGCCTATAGAGATCATGCCTATAGAGATCATGCCTATAGAGATCATGCCTATAGAGATCATGCCGCCTATAGAGATCATGCCGCCTATAGAGATCATGCCTATAGAGATCATGCCTATAGAGATCATGCCTATAGAGATCATGCCTATAGAGATCATGCCTATAGAGATCATGCCTATAGAGATCATGCCGCCTATAGAGATCATGCCGCCTATAGAGATCATGCCGCCTATAGAGATCATGCCGCCTATAGAGATCATGCCTACTATAGAGATCATGCCTATAGAGATCATGCCTACTATAGAGATCATGCCTATAGAGATCATGCCTATAGAGATCATGCCTATAGAGATCATGCCTATAGAGATCATGCCTATAGAGATCGATCATGCCTATAGAGATCATGCCTATAGAGATCATGCCAGATCATGCCAATAGAGATCATGCCTATAGAGATCATGCCTATAGAGATCATGCCTATAGAGATCATGCCTATAGAGATCATGCCTATAGAGATCATGCCTATAGAGATCGATCATGCCTATAGAGATCATGCCAGATCATGCCAATAGAGATCATGCCTATAGAGATCATGCCTATAGAGATCATGCCAATAGAGATCATGCCAATAGAGATCATGCCTATAGACATCATGCCAGATCATGCCTATAGAGCAGGGATGGGCAACGTCGGTCCTGGAGGGCCACTGTCCTACAGAGTTTAGCTCCAACCCTGAAAAAATCACCTGCCTGTAACTTTCTAGTAATCCTGAAGACCTTGATTAGCTCGTTCAGGTGTGTTTGATTAGGGTTGAAGCTAAACTCTGTAGGACAGTGGCCCTCCAGGACTGAAGTTGCCCATCCCTGCTATAGAGATCATATAGAGATCATATAGAGATCATGTCGAGCGCTGCACGGTTGATCAATCAAACCGCACGCCATTTGGCAAAGGCTGTGGTTATGTTTTGCGCAGTTAGGGTATTAATGGTGCAGCGCTACACTGCTGTGAGACTGTAGTCTGGGTGATGATGATGATGATGATGATGATGATGATGTCACACAGGTGCGCATCATGTTCGAGGTGCAGGACCTGAAGTACGCCACGCTGGCCACGGTGTCTCGCTGCGGGATGGTCTGGTTCAGCGAGGACGTTCTCAGCACCGACATGATCTTCAACAACTTCCTGGCTCGCCTGCGGAGCATCCCATTGGACGAGGGAGAGGACGAGGCTCAGCGAATGAGGAAGGCCACCGAGGACGAGGGAGACGAGGCCGCCTCACCGATGCTGCAGGTACAGCTCACAACGAGTGTGTGTGTGTGTGTGAGAGAGTGAGAGAGACGAGGCCGCCTCACCGATGCTGCCCTAACCCTAACATTTTAAAGCCAAGATGTACAGAACATCACACAAAGATATAGAAGAAAATGTATAAAAATATTTTGGATCAATAAAACTAAGATATAACACAAATAACTGCAGACAGGATTTGCATCATCAAATTGTGCGTTGTGTGTGTGTGTGTGTGTGTGATCGGCAGATCCAGAGAGACTCGTCTGCGGTCCTGCAGCCGTACTTCACCTCCACCGGGCTGGTGATCAAAGCGCTGGAGCACGCCTCCAAGATGGAGCACATCATGGACTTCACCCGCCTGCGCTCGCTCAGCTCGCTGTTCTCCATGCTGCACCAGGCCTGCCGCAACGTGGCGCTCTACAACAACAACCACCCCGACTTCCCCATGCCCGTCGACCAGCTGGAGAAGTACATGCAGGTGTGTGTGTGTGTGAACGGGGCACTCTCAGGTCTTGTCCACACTAATACATTTCCATTTCAAAACGCATATTTTTCTCTGTTTTGTCCTTTCATCCACACTGAGACGGGGTTTTATTAATGAAAACTACGCTTTTTGAAAACGCTCTCCATTTAAGTGGATAAATTTGAATGTTTTCGTGTTGTAGTGTCGACTGTGAAACCGTGAGGTACCAATAGATATTGATGTTTATACCGGTATTGTGCCTGTTATGTGCTGTTCACTTTCACACTGTTGCTAAAATGTTACTTCACACACTCTTCATATCACAGTCATATTTCATATTCACTCTCGCATCTGCTGCGGTGAAACATGAGCAGTGTTAGACCACACATATAATGCTGAGTGAGAGCGACCGGAGCCCAGCAGTGGATGCTGAGATATTTAGCCTAATAAAATGATCCTGTCAGAAGAATTGCGCGATAACGGTGTTGTGTTTTTTTTCCGTCTCTGAGAGATTTTGTGAGGTTTTACGCATGCGCTGTCAGGAGGATTTCAGAAACATGTGTGTGTGTGTGTGACGCCTGCTAACTCTCCCGTGTGCAGAAGTACCTGATCTACGCAGTGCTGTGGTCGTTCTCGGGCGACAGCCGGCTGAAGATGAGGGCCGAGCTCGGGGAATACATCCGCCGCATCACCACCGTATCTCTGCCGTCTGCGCCCAACGTGCCGATCATCGACTACGAGGTGCGCACCCTCCTCAGGCTCCGTGTGTGTGTGTGTGTGTGTGTGTGTGAGGCTGACGCTGCTCTGCTCCGCAGGTGTGCATCACGGGCGAGTGGCAGTCGTGGCAGGGGAAGGTGCCCCAGATCGAGGTGGAGACCCATAAGGTGGCGTCCCCTGATGTGGTGGTGCCCACGCTGGACACGGTGCGGCACGAGGCGCTGCTCTACACATGGCTGGCCGAACACAAGCCGCTGGTGCTCTGTGGGCCGCCCGGCTCCGGCAAGACCATGACCCTCTTCAGCGCGCTGAGAGCCCTGCCCGACATGGAGGTGAGCAACACGCCTCGTCTCAGCGATGGGCATTTGCACAAATATTGTATTCAAATATTTGGGCTCATAAAAATCTTAATATTCGTTTATTTAAATGTAACTCGTGTGTGTTCCTCATGTGTGTGTGTTCCTCATGTGTGTGTGTTCCTCCAGGTGGTGGGCCTGAACTTCTCGAGCGCCACGACCCCGGAGCTGCTGCTGAAGACGTTCGATCACTACTGCGAGTACCGCAGGACTCCTAACGGTGTGGTTCTGGCGCCGGTGCAGCTGGGCAAGTGGCTGGTGCTGTTCTGCGACGAGATCAACCTGCCCGACATGGACAAGTACGGCACGCAGCGGGTCATCTCCTTCATCAGACAGGTGTGTGTTGTGCTTCGCTCTCGCTGGTGTGTGTGTGTGTGTGGGGAGTGTAACCGGTGTGTGTTGTGTTCAGATGGTGGAGCACGGCGGCTTCTATCGCACCTCAGACCAGACGTGGGTGAAGCTTGAGCGGATCCAGTTCGTCGGGGCCTGTAATCCTCCCACTGACCCGGGCCGGAAGCCTCTCTCTTACAGGTCATCATCACCGCTTAACATGACCGCTCACACCAAGGACGATAGCTATAAAGATAACCATAAAGATAAAGTCCTAAAAATCGTTCTGCATATTAAAGAATAGCAGTTCACACCACAACTATAACGATAAAGACATGATGAACGATATCGTTGGGATCACTTTAAAGGGCTCGTGCATTTAAAACGGTAGACGACATTGTGGAGAAGTTCCTCGGCGAGGCTCAGAGAAACCCACGGTTTGACAGTCAAGCCCCTTTTCAAGAAAATGGATATGGAAAACAGTGGTTCATACCCTCTGAATAAAGAGAAGTATAACCTCCGGTGTCCAGCGCTCGTTTCCACAACACTGTCTTGCTTCCGCTGAAGTTGCGGTGAAAAAGACTAGGTGTTGTTTTTATTCCACTATATTGACTCCGTCAGCCAAACTCACTGTTAGATTATTAGCTTGATTACGCTAGCTTCACTCGAAACACAGCATGCTGAGGACATCTGCTGGTTAAAGCGGAGTAATGCAACAAGAACAGCAAAGACATGTTCAATGACGTTGGACACACTTTGAGCTTAGAATAAACAGACCGTTATCGTTCGTTGGTGTGGACGATAATATAGTTATCTTTATAGTTATCGCTCTTGGTGTGAACGGGCCTTTACTCGTGGTGTCTGCAGGTTTTTGCGTCATGTGCCGGTGGTGTACGTGGACTATCCCGGGCCGGCCTCACTGACCCAGATCTACGGCACCTTCAACCGAGCCATGCTGAGGCTCATCCCGTCCCTGAGGACCTTCGCTGAGCCGCTCACCGCTGCCATGGTCGAGTTCTACACCATGTCTCAGGTTTGCACTTCAGACAGATCTGGCAGAATTCCCTCAAGTGAAACTGAACCTTTATTTTGGCAGGTTGCAGTGAAGAGCTGCGAGTCTGTGTTTCTGCTGATCGTTCTCAGATGAAGTGGTGAAATGCTGCTGAAGTGACTCAGAGCAGCTCTGGAGATGAAGTTCATGAGCTCATTAGGGCTGTCAAAGTGGCTGAAAAGCTAAATTTGATATTCGAATTCTAAAGGCAATATTTAATGTTAGAGGAAAAAAATACTGTATTGTGTCCTATGGCTACAAGAGGGCGCCATTCAGAAACCATTCACTTCTACTCACTACACTTCTACATATTGTCAGCAGGAAGCATTTTTCACATTAGCAACGCAGCCGCACCGCGCTGTACTGGATAAGCTAACCAAAACAAACCGCGTCAGTGACGTCACAATCATGTCTCGCGCGCCTTGTGCACTGTTTTTATTTTAATTCGACGAATATTCAAAATTCGAATTTTTTTTTTGCCAGCTCATATAGTGAGACGCAGACTTGAGTTTGTGTAGTAGAGCAAACTGAGACAGACTTACAGTCTTTAATATTCACACACACACACACACACACACACACACTTGATTAACCTCTTCCACTCTAAGGCATATTTTGGAATTCCGCCTGATTTTAACACACCCAAGTTTAAATATTCACCCTAGACACATACAGTGTAGGAAATTTAAAAAGCTAGTGTCATTGTACAGAAAACCCTTCAGATTTATTAAATTAGATTGCAAAACTTCATAAATAGCATTGTATGCTTTTAAAATATTACGATAAACATAAAAAAAATAGGACTTTTATTTTATTTTTTTATAGAATCCTGTCTTTGAAAATCTGTGATTCAGGTACTGTTTGCTCTGGGGACCTGCTGATTATATTGTTTGACTATACTAGGTGGCAGTATCCACCAGAAAAAAAGATTTTTTCTCTATGACATTCTGAGCAAGAGTTATTCAAATATAACCGAAGGGAGGTAAAGTATCATTTTTAGTGCATATATGTGTCCTTTGGATTTTTCTAATACTCAAATGCAATTTTTTTTTTTTTTTTTACTAATACTACCCCAAAAATCCTACTTTTAATACATACTAAAGCACTTTACTTAATTATCGATTGATTTTCTTCATTTTCATTCAGGTTTAATGCAAAATGGTATAAAGGAATGAGACCAAGTAACATTTGTGTTTTGTAAATAAAAGCACAACAAATGTAGGCTATTCTCCTTTCAGGAGACAATAATCACTTAAAAAACTGTCTTGTAGAATTTATGTGGTCTAAAACACACCACTTGTACAAATTGAAACATAAATAAAAATGAGAGACTATAGAAATATGAAAGTAGACCTAGATAACGTTAGCCCTAAGATGCACGCTACACGATGCACCGTCACTTTCTCTTTCAAGCTCTTCTATTGCTTCAACGCAAGAGAACACCTTTTTAGCTGCTTTTCCCTCTCCAGATGCCATTTTTTTTATCAAAACGCTCGAAAAATACAAATATATATCCAATAATTTTCTGTCAGTCGTCTTCGTCGCTTGTCATTCACTTGTTACTATCTACTCGCGCGCGAGTCGCGCCTATCATCACGTCGTGATGTACTAAAGCCATGATAAAAGCCGGTCGTGATCCCGCCCACCTACTCCACTGATTCGTTGGCTGATTCAGCATGTGATTGGACTAGATAAATGATTGACATGTGATTGGAAAGCTGACAGCCTCAGCTTTGAACACGTGCCTGATTTGTATATCATCGTCATGATTAGAGGACGCTTGCACGGTTTGATGATGATGTGTAGATCGCGTGTTTCTCCTGTCGAGCGCGTTTTGTGTTCTGGACATCCGCGACATAACAGTGGATTATTTACCAAGAGGAGCTCACAGAAAAGTACAAATGGGCTCATTTGAAAGATAACATCCTAAGGTAAAAGATGATATAGAGTTTGTGGCTGATTTTAGCTTAGAGCACCTGTAATCGAAGTAGAAATGAGACGTTTGTCTTTGTTTATTCACAGAAATCATATTTTACTGCCCGATTCTTGTGGACATAATGTGAACTATGATGTTAAAACAATAAAACAAACTACATAGTCACATTTCTGAGAATGAGAGCTTTCTTTTGATATGATTTTTCTGTTTTGTGAGATACATAAAAAAATACATATTCATATTTACATATCTGCATCGCCATTTTGGGGGAGGAGCGATTTTGTGACGATTGTTTTTTAAAGCTTTATATTAATTATTTGTGTTCCATATACACACATATAATTGTATTCTGTGTAAAGATGAGATTTTAAGATTTAAAATGATACTATATATGGGGCTATAGTATCTCCAGAAACATAAAAAAATTAAGTTTAAATATTAAAGTTAAAGTTTAACTAAATAAAATTAAGTTTAAAACGTAGCTCTTTTGCCCGCCCACGGGCGATCAGAGTGGAAGAGGTTAAGTGTGCAGCCCTACATCTGATTTATTCATCCAAAATTTGCCAAATTCCACGTTATACAGTACGTTCCACTTTTATGAGTTGATTCCACATCTGCGTCGCTGAAAACACAGGACCCCATGACATGTTTGGATGCTCATGTCTGCTGGTCTTGTGTTGAGTGTCGGCACTCTGGGATCTGAACATGTTCTGGAAACCTGCTTGTGATCTCAACTAGACTTGAAACCTGACATGCTTATCCCCCCAGATAAAGATGCTGTGTTTGTTCCGCAATGATCCAGTTTAGCTATATCTGTTCTGTGTAACAGGAGCGGTTCACGCAGGACACGCAGCCGCACTACATCTACTCCCCGAGAGAGATGACCCGCTGGGTGCGGGGGATCTTCGAGGCGCTGAGGCCGCTAGAGACGCTGCCCGTCGAGGGGCTCATCCGCATCTGGGCTCACGAGGCGCTCCGACTCTTCCAGGACCGGTGAGTCCAACGGGTTCCAGGCCTGTAGATCGTGCACTCTTCCAAAACAGGGCTCAGAGTTAACAACTTTTTAGGTTTAGAATGTAATTAAGTTTGTATTTTAACACTTTTTTGCTAATAATATACAGCATCCTGCATAGATTCATTCACTATATTTGTTTTCATAGACTTTAACTATATTACACATTGTTTGGAGGACAGCATTGGGCAGGATTTAACATTGTTTAAAATGAAATTTAAATCAAAACATTTTTTCATCCGATTAATCAAAGATTTTTTTTAAATAATCGACAGATTAATCGATTATCAAAATAATCGTTAGTTGCAGCCCTACTCGGTTTGTTGGGTTGCATTGCTTTCTCACTACTAGCGAACCGCTCCAGAGTTTGTTTGAGTTGAGTAAACTTTATTGTCCCCGAGAGGAAATTTTGCTTGGGCACAGTGCCGAGGTGTTTCATAAAACAAACATCATACAAAACATCACAAATTACAAAACACATCAACAAAAACAGAAGCAAATATAGACACAGAAGAAAAAGGGACATAATTGACAGCACAATTCCATGGATTAAAATGCAAGTGCTTAAGTGCTAGTATGGTTGTTGCAAATTACTCCATTGTATTGAAGTTTATGTAAAGTGCATATGCTAAGGCGCTAGTTTATATATTGCACTGAGATCACAAGTGAAGTGCTGAAGTGCTCACAGTTTTATTTCACATCGTTCAGCAACTTAATAGAGACTGGCACGAATGATAATTTTAAGCGATTAGTTTTGCATTTTGGTACGCGGAGTCTTCTTCCCGATGGCAAGGTTTCATATTCAGGAAAGAGTGGATGTTGAGGGTCTGATTTAATTTTCAACGCCTGTTTTATAACTGCCTGATCATACAGGCTCTGTACAGGCTCACAGTCTCTCCTCCCTATCATGTTCATGGCTGCTTTGTGCATGTTAGCAAGCTTATTTTTCACCTTAACTGCCAAACCATGCAGTAATTCCATATCGGATGACACTCTCTAAGATGGCATGATAGAAGATCATCATGATACGACTGCCCACACCACACGACCTTAGGCGCCTTAAAAAATATAGCCTCTGCTGCAGTTTGTTATACAGGTTGTCAACATGTGTATTCCAACAAAGAAGACAGTCAATATGGACACCTAAATATTTGTATGAGGACACCTGAGTTACTTCCTGGTTTAGAATGACCACTGGCTTGTGGTCTGTAACTTGCCTCGGGTCGAAGACCATCTAGTTTGTTTTTTGGATGTTTAAAATTAGTTGGTTGGTGTCACACCATTTAACAAATGTGTCTATTTCGTTTTGATACATAGAGGAGTCCGTTTTCTTGTACAAAAGGCTCAGGATCGCGGTATCGTCAGCAAATTTCATTATATGGTTATGAGAGTGTACATTCCTGCAATCATTTGTGTACAATGTGAAGAGTATTGGTGAAACGACACAGGCCTGAGGAACTCCTGTGGTACAGTATTAGATCTCTGATAGCGTCTCATTGACCTTCACTTGCTGTGCCCTGTCAGTTAAGAAAGAATAAAACCATTTAATTAAGATAGTATTGACATTCATGTTTTTAAGCTTATTTAAAAGCACATGAGTTTGCACTGTATTAAAAACAAGATTCTAGCATAAGCTTCTATGTTTTCAAGGTGCTTAGAAATATAGTGCGAGATACAGAGGACTGCGTCATCAGTGCTGCGTCCTTGCTTATTAGGGGTGTGCAAAAAAATCGATTCACATTTGAATCGCGATTCAATCTTTACCGATTCAGAATCGATTCATAGAATTCCAAAAATCGATTCATATTTTTTTTTTAATGGCGTGCACGGGCGGAGTGGCAATCGGGTGAGTCGGGACTTTTACCGGTGGTCCGGTAGTGTTTCGAGGCTGCGAGGGCCGGTCTGATAAATAGTTACATTGCAAGTTCTTGCCGCCCGCTGGTCAAACTGCAGCATCTCTGCTCAACCCGTGAATAAATGCATCGATCCGCAGATTATGTTTGAGTTCTGTAGATCTTTTGCCAAGCGTGTCAGAGGTTACGGGTTCTAAACCGCACTCGTATAGTTTTTTCTCTCTCTCATCAAAACCCAATATGTTCATCACGTTTGTGAGCATTTTATTTTGTGATTTCACCGGGGTCTCCACAATGGCGATAGATTGAAGCGCGCGTCCGAGTGAAGACTGCGCGAGCCACGGAGAACACTGTATCCATGACACTGATAGCAGCGGCAACGAGCGCGCGGCTTGATTTCAAAAACAACAGATCTCTTATTTAATAGCGAACTAAATGAATGCTCTGCTAGTTAACTGGAGATACCCGCAAATTACGCCTATGAACGACTTCACTGGACCAGTAGCAGTGGCTTTTTTAAATCTATTTAAAATAATTTCGCAAGGGTTCTATGACATTAGTATAAATTTTTAGGAAGTTCAATGTGCCCAGTCGAGTTCACATTTCAACAGTCAGCCTGGTAGCTGAAGTACTCCTTAAACCACATTAACATTAATTGTTTGATCTGACTACAGCACTTTAAAGCTAAATGTAAAAGCTTTTTATTTAAGTTTTATTTAACTTGAATTAAATGTATTTGAAAGCTGGCCAAAGCTTGGCACTTTGCACTTTTTAGTTGCAAAAGTTTTTATTTTTGTATGAAAACATATAAAGTAATATAAAACTACATTTAATTTGTTGTGGTTTTTTTTCTTTAAAATTGTGTCTACTGCAATCAATCACATAGGAAAAAGTAAACTACATTTATATACTGCGAATCGTTTTTTGAATCGAGAATCGTTTTTGAATCGAAAATCGATTTTGAATCGAACCTTGAGACAAAAAATCGGAATCGAATCGTGACATTTTCTGAATCGTGCACCCCTATTGCTTATAGGCGAACTGGTACACATCCAATTTTGACTCAACATCTTTCATGAGTATCGACACAACAAATTTTTCAAAACATTTCATTACAATTGAGGTTTCCCATCGCTACTTCGTTCAGGGGATCTCGGACTGGTTGCTTTGCTGCAGATCCGAGTACAACTGCCATGTTCATATTTGCCTAAACAAACCAAACTATGGAAGAAAATGTGTCCGGTTTGGAAAGAAATGATTGTCAGGAGTGTGGGAAACCCGGCACATTTCTCCCAATTCCAGCAGCAAACCTAGGAATATGTGTGGTTGATTGTTTTGAAATGGCACAGTGGTTGAACTGATTCTCCTGACAGATTGGTGGAGGACGAGGAGAGACGCTGGACCGATGAAAACATCGACATGGTCGCCTTGAAACACTTTCCCAACATCGACCGTGACAAAGCCCTCAACAAACCCATCCTGTACAGCAACTGGCTCTCCAAGGTGAGTGTCGCGGGACAGCACGCAGAAGCTTCCGTAGCTCAGCGTAGCTCATCCCGTAGCTCAGCGTAGCTCATCCCGTAGCTCAGCGTAACTCATCCCGTAGCTCAGCGTAGCTCATCCCGTAGCTCAGCGTAGCTCATCCCGTAGCTCAGCGTAACTCATCCCGTAGCTCAGCGTAACTCATCCCGTAGCTCAGCGTAACTCATCCCGTAGCTCAGCGTAGCTCATCCCGTAGCTCAGCGTAACTCATCCCGTAGCTCAGCGTAACTCATCCCGGAGCTCAGCGTAACTCATCCCGTAGCTCAGCGTAACTCATCCCGTAGCTCAGCGTAACTCATCCCGTAGCTCAGCGTAACTCATCTCGTAGCTCAGCGTAACTCATCCCGTAGCTCAGCGTAACTCATCCCGGAGCTCAGCGTAACTCATCCCGTAGCTCAGCGTAACTCATCCCGTAGCTCAGCGTAACTCATCCCGTAGCTCAGCGTAACTCATCCCGTAGCTCAGCGTAACTCATCCCGGAGCTCAGCGTAACTCATCCCGTAGCTCAGCGTAACTCATCCCGTAGCTCAGCGTAACTCATCCCGTAGCTCAGCGTAACTCATCCCGTAGCTCAGCGTAACTCATCCCGTAGCTCAGCGTAACTCATCCCGTAGCTCAGCGTAACTCATCCCGTAGCTCAGCGTAACTCATCCCGTATCTCAGCGTAACTCATCCCGGAGCTCAGCGTAACTCATCCCGGAGCTCAGCGTAACTCATCCCGTATCTCAGCGTAGCTCATCCCGGAGCTCAGCGTAACTCATCCCGTAGCTCAGCGTAACTCATCCCGTAGCTCAGCGTAACTCATCCCGTATCTCAGCGTAGCTCATCCCGTAGCTCAGCGTAACTCATCCCGTATCTCAGCGTAACTCATCCCGTATCTCAGCGTAACTCATCCCGTAGCTCAGCGTAACTCATCCCGTATCTCAGCGTAACTCATCCCGTAGCTCAGCGTAACTCATCCCGTATCTCAGCGTAGCTCATCCCGTAGCTCAGCGTAACTCATCCCGTAGCTCAGCGTAACTCATCCCGTAGCTCAGCGTAACTCATCCCGGAGCTCAGCGTAACTCATCCCGGAGCTCAGCGTAACTCATCCCGGAGCTCAGCGTAACTCATCCCGTAGCTCAGCGTAACTCATCCCGTAGCTCAGCGTAACTCATCCCGTAGCTCAGCGTAACTCATCCCGTAGCTCAGCGTAACTCATCCCGTAGCTCAGCGTAACTCATCCCGTAGCTCAGCGTAACTCATCCCGTAGCTCAGCGTAACTCATCCCGTAGCTCAGCGTAACTCATCCCGTAGCTCAGCGTAACTCATCCCGTAGCTCAGCGTAACTCATCCCGTAGCTCAGCGTAACTCATCCCGTAGCTCAGCGTAACTCATCCCGTAGCTCAGCGTAGCTCATCCCGTAGCTCAGCGTAGCTCATCCCGTAGCTCAGCGTAACTCATCCAGTAGCTCAGCGTAACTCATCCCGTAGCTCAGCGTAACTCATCCCGTAGCTCAGCGTAACTCATCCCGTAGCTCAGCGTAACTCATCCCGTAGCTCAGCGTAACTCATCCCGTAGCTCAGCGTAGCTCATCCCGTAGCTCAGCGTAGCTCATCCCGTAGCTCAGCGTAACTCATCCCGTAGCTCAGCGTAACTCATCCCGTAGCTCAGCGTAGCTCATCCCGTAGCTCAGCGTAGCTCATCCCGTAGCTCAGCGTAACTCATCCCGTAGTTCAGCGTAACTCATCCCGGAGCTCAGCGTAACTCATCCCGTAGCTCAGCGTAACTCATCCCGGAGCTCAGCGTAACTCATCCCGGAGCTCAGCGTAACTCATCCCGGAGCTCAGCGTAACTCATCCCGGAGCTCAGCGTAACTCATCCCGTAGCTCAGCGTAACTCATCCCGTAGCTCAGCGTAACTCATCCCGTAGCTCAGCGTAACTCATCCCGTAGCTCAGCGTAACTCATCCCGTAGCTCAGCGTAACTCATCCCGGAGCTCAGCGTAACTCATCCCGGAGCTCAGCGTAACTCATCCCGGAGCTCAGCGTAACTCATCCCGGAGCTCAGCGTAACTCATCCCGTAGCTCAGCGTAACTCATCCCGTAGCTCAGCGTAACTCATCCCGTAGCTCAGCGTAACTCATCCCGTAGCTCAGCGTAACTCATCCCGTAGCTCAGCGTAACTCATCCCGTAGCTCAGCGTAACTCATCCCGGAGCTCAGCGTAACTCATCCCGGAGCTCAGCGTAACTCATCCTCATCCCGTAGCTCATCCCGTAGCTCAGCGTAACTCATCCCGGAGCTCAGCGTGACTCATCCTCATCCCGTAGCTCAGCGTAACTCATCCCGGAGCTCAGCGTGACTCATCCTCATCCCGTAGCTCATCCCGTAGCTCAGCGTAACTCATCCCGGAGCTCAGCGTGACTCATCCTCATCCCGTAGCTCAGCGTAACTCATCCCGGAGCTCAGCGTGACTCATCCTCATCCCGTAGCTCAGCGTAACTCATCCCGTAGCTCAGCGTAACTCATCCCGTAGCTCAGCGTAACTCATCCCGGAGCTCAGCGTAACTCATCCCGTAGCTCAGCGTAACTCATCCCGTAGCTCAGCGTAACTCATCTAGTGCTGCCACTAACGACTAATTTTCTAACGACTAATCTTTCGACTAATTTTTCGATTAGTCGACTAATCTAAACGACTAATTAAAAAAAAAATCAAGTGTTTATTTCGTTATGTCCATTTTATTTTGAACTCAACTGAAGGGCCAAAACATAAAATGTCACCTGTTCAAAAACATTATGTATTAACAATCTAATTATTAAGTATCTGCATTTCCATTAGGCTATACCATATTAGTCAGAGTCCTAATCTAATCCTCTAATAACAAACATGTATGTATTACTTAAATTAGCTCTTTGTTCTGCCTTAAAAAAATGTACAGTAAGCTAATAATGATTAATTTATGTACATTTCTGAAAAGCATAACTGATAACATCACTCTGAATAGTAAAGTAGATGCAATGCATTTTCTGTGAAAAGCGCTATACAAATAAATTGGAATTGAATTGAAAGAGTCTGGACTAGCCCACTATGAGTCGCGCTGAAAGCAGGCAGGCACGCAGTTATGTAGCTCGCGTTTACACCTGCGTGCATGGCGGGCCCGTGCCGCGGTTCGCGTGAATGTGAAAGCAACACGGACTCGGGAGCGCTTGTTCAGGAAGTTAAGTAACCTGCCCATGCGTTTTAGCTGATTATGATGCATTTAGTTAAATAAAACACATGTAAGGGATGATAGTGATGATGATGATTTACCTTGGATACGCGAGAGTTGAGTCTGCAGTGTATTCGCGCATTGCGCGTGCAATCAGGGCAACACATTTGGAAATCCACTGTCTCCTCAAAAGAGTCCGTTTGAAAAACACAATAATATTGACCCGCGTTCTATTTTCTATCATGCGCCGTGCACGTTTGCGATGGCATAAGATGCACGCAAACTCAACAGGGTTCGATAGAATTGAGTGTGAAACCAGACCAACGCTGCGGGGGGCGCCGGGATCAAACAATCGCGCTCTGACTCGGACCGCAGCAAACGAGCCCACTGTGAAAGCTCCGTCACCTGCCTTTTTTGAATTTTTCATATCAAAGCAGTGAAGGCGGGCGGGAACGTGAAGGAAAATGATAGCAGATAAACCAGCAGGGCGCGCACGGCGCACAGACTGGTGTGTGGAGGTGAATTACAGTGAGCCGTTTGTGACGGGAGACCAAAAATAAATAGCGGTCAATAGTAAAACGACACGTCGACTAAAAGAATTGCCGTCGACTAATTTGCATGGTCGATTACGTCGACTAAGTCGACTAATCGCGGCAGCACTAAACTCATCCCGTAGCTCAGCGTAACTTATCCCGTAGCTCAGCGTAACTCATCCCGTAGCTCAGCGTAACTCATCCCGGAGCTCAGCGTAACTCATCCCGTAGCTCAGCGTAACTCATCCCGTAGCTCAGCGTAACTCATCCCGTAGCTCAGCGTAACTCATCCCGTAGCTCAGCGTAACTCATCCCGTAGCTCAGCGTAACTCATCCCGTAGCTCAGCGTAACTCATCCCGTAGCTCAGCGTAACTCATCCCGTAGCTCAGCGTAACTCATCCCGTAGCTCAGCGTAACTCATCCCGTAGCTCAGCGTAACTCATCCCGTAGCTCAGCGCAACTCATCCCGTAGCTCAGCGTAACTCATCCCGTAGCTCAGCGTAACTCATCCCGTAGCTCAGCGTAACTCATCCCGTAGCTCATCCCGTAGCTCAGCGTAACTCATCCCGTAGCTCATCCCGTAGCTCAGCGTAACTCATCCCGGAGCTCAGCGTAACTCATCCCGTAGCTCAGCGTAACTCATCCCGGAGCTCAGCGTAACTCATCCCGGAGCTCAGCGTAACTCATCCCGTAGCTCAGCGTAACTCATCCCGTATCTCAGCGTAACTCATCCCGGAGCTCAGCGTAACTCATCCCGTAGCTCAGCGTAACTCATCCCGGAGCTCAGCGTAACTCATCCCGGAGCTCAGCGTAACTCATCCCGTAGCTCAGCGTAACTCATCCCGTAGCTCAGCGTAACTCATCCCGTAGCTCAGCGTAACTCATCCCGGAGCTCAGCGTAACTCATCCCGTAGCTCAGCGTAACTCATCCCGGAGCTCAGCGTAACTCATCCCGGAGCTCAGCGTAACTCATCCCGGAGCTCAGCGTAACTCATCCCGTAGCTCAGCGTAACTCATCCCGTAGCTCAGCGTAACTCATCCCGTAGCTCAGCGTAACTCATCCCGTAGCTCAGCGTAACTCATCCCGTAGCTCAGCGTAGCTCATCCCGTAGCTCAGCGTAACTCATCCCGTAGCTCAGCGTAACTCATCCCGTAGCTCATCCCGTAGCTCAGCGTAACTCATCCCGTAGCTCATCCCGTAGCTCAGCGTAACTCATCCCGTAGCTCATCCCGTAGCTCAGCGTAACTCATCCCGTAGCTCATCCCGTAGCTCAGCGTAACTCATCCCGTAGCTCAGCGTAACTCATCCCGTAGCTCAGCGTAACTCATCCCGTAGCTCAGCGTAACTCATCCCGTAGCTCAGCGTAACTCATCCCGTAGCTCAGCGTAACTCATCCCGGAGCTCAGCGTAACTCATCCCGGAGCTCAGCGTGACTCATCCTCATCTCGTAGCTCAGCGTAACTCATCCCGTAGCTCAGCGTAACTCATCCCGTAGCTCAGCGTGACTCATCCCGGAGCTCAGCGTAACTCATCCCGTAGCTCAGCGTAACTCATCCCGAAGCTCAGCGTAACTCATCCCGGAGCTCAGCGTAACTCATCCCGGAGCTCAGCGTAACTCATCCCGTAGCTCAGCGTAACTCATCCCGTAGCTCAGCGTAACTCATCCCGTAGCTCAGCGTAACTCATCCCGGAGCTCAGCGTAACTCATCCCGTAGCTCAGCGTAACTCATCCCGTAGCTCAGCGTAACTCATCCCGTAGCTCAGCGTAACTCATCCCGTAGCTCAGCGTAACTCATCCCGTAGCTCAGCGTAACTCATCCCGTAGCTCAGCGTAACTCATCCCGGAGCTCAGCGTAACTCATCCTGGAGCTCAGCGTGACTCATCCTCATCCCGTAGCTCATCCCGTAGCTCAGCGTAACTCATCCCGAAGCTCAGCGTAACTCATCCCGGAGCTCAGCGTAACTCATCCCGGAGCTCAGCGTAACTCATCCCGGAGCTCAGCGTAACTCATCCCGGAGCTCAGCGTAACTCATCCCGTAGCTCAGCGTAGCTCATCCCGTAGCTCAGCGTAACTCATCCCGTAGCTCAGCGTAACTCATCCCGTAGCTCAGCGTAACTCATCCCGTAGCTCAGCGTAACTCATCCCGTAGCTCAGCGTAGCTCATCCCGTAGCTCAGCGTAACTCATCCCGTAGCTCAGCGTAGCTCATCCCGTAGCTCAGCGTAGCTCATCCCGTAGCTCAGCGTAACTCATCCCGTAGCTCAGCGTAACTCATCCCGTAGCTCAGCGTAACTCATCCCGTATCTCAGCGTAACTCATCCCGTATCTCAGCGTAACTCATCCCGTAGCTCAGCGTAACTCATCCCGTAGCTCAGCGTAACTCATCCCGTAGCTCAGCGTAACTCATCCCGTAGCTCAGCGTAACTCATCCCGTAGCTCAGCGTAACTCATCCCGGAGCTCAGCGTAACTCATCCCGTAGCTCAGCGTAACTCATCCCGTAGCTCAGCGTAACTCATCCCGTCTCCTGTTCTCCTGTAGGACTACGTGCCCGTGGAGCAGGAGGAGCTGCGCGACTATGTGAAGGCCAGACTGAAGGTGTTCTACGAGGAGGAGCTGGACGTTCCTCTCGTGCTCTTCAATGAGGTTCTGGATCACGTGCTGAGGATCGACAGGTACAGAGAGCCCGATTAAACACACATTTCACCGGCTGATGCGTCAGTAACGGCAGGCTTGTTCTCCTCCAGAATCTTCCGTCAGCCGCAGGGTCATCTTCTCCTGATCGGGGTCAGCGGAGCCGGGAAGACAACGCTCTCACGCTTCGTGGCCTGGATGAATGGACTCAGTGTCTATCAGATCAAGGTTAGAACCAACAAGCGTTTGATTGGCTGTCAGATTTTTTGGACATGTTTATTCAGTTTTAACATGGTTAAATGTACAGTGCACTTCCTTGAGAAAATTAAAGATGCAATATGTCAGATAATCCTCAAAACATTGATTTTACTTCATATAAATTGTCCTGTCCTCTACATAATATGCATGTGCACACCGTCATCTTTTCACAGCTTTATGTTTTTGAAGTTTACACAGAGATAACTTTTTTTTTTTAAATCAAAACTTGCATCTTGGAACCGGTTTCAAAGTTTGCGTTCTCATTTGTCATGCAAATGAACTGCCAGATCATTAAAAGTTTCCTGTTTTCTGTTAGAGCGGTGTCGTGTTAGCGGCCCCTAAGTTAATCACTAATGATCTCTGCAATGTCAGTGAATCAATCAGAACTAACTTTAGCTGGACAATAACTTTATTCTAGAGCTGCTGTAAAGCCTAAACACTCTCTGTTACTGTAATCTCCTGTTATCTGTAAAGCTGCTGTGAAACTCTAGATTGTTAAAGCGCTGTATAGATGAAGGAGACTCGACTACAAAGTGATAGTGACTCTAAATCAAAGAGGACAATGCATAAACATTAATAACAATGAATGTATATAAAATCAAATAAAAGTTTTTATGGTTCTTGAGGCTCCGGTAACTGTGATCGTATCTGCGCAGGTCCACAGGAAGTACACCGGCGAGGACTTCGACGAAGACCTGCGGACGGTCCTCCGGCGCTCCGGCTGCAAGAACGAGAAGATCGCCTTCATCATGGACGAGTCGAACGTGCTGGACTCGGGATTCCTGGAGCGCATGAACACACTGCTGGCCAACGGAGAGGTGCGGCCCGTCATGTGTGTTCTCTGTGTGTTCTCTGTGTGTTCTCTGTTCTGAACTCTCTGTGTTCTGTGTGATCTGAACTCTCTGTGTGTGATCTGAACTCTGTGTGTGATCTGAACTCTCTGTGTGTGTTCTGAACTCTCTCTGTGCTGTTGCAGGTGCCCGGCCTGTTCGAGGGCGACGAATACGCCACGCTGATGACGCAGTGTAAGGAGGGCGCACAGAAGGAGGGCTTGATGCTGGACACCCATGAGGAGCTTTACAAGTGGTTCACGAGTCAGGTGATCAGGAACCTGCATGTGGTGTTCACCATGAACCCGTCGTCAGAGGGACTGAAGGACCGCGCGGCCACGTCACCCGCCCTCTTCAACAGGTACCCGTCGCGGTCACTGACCGGAGAAGCTTTATTTCTGTAGCGCTTTATACAAGATCGTTTCAAAGAAGCTTAATAAACAGAATCAATGATGCAAACTTCAACTCAAATTCTGCAGGTGTGTGCTCAACTGGTTTGGTGATTGGTCCACTGAAGCGCTCTACCAGGTGGGTAAAGAGTTCACCAGCAAGATGGACCTGGAGAAGCCCAACTACAAAGTGCCCGACTACATGCCCATCGTGTACGACAAGCTTCCGCAGCCGCCCACCCACCGCGAGGCTATCGTCAACGGCTGCGTGTTCGTCCACCAGACGCTGCACCAGGTCAGCGGGCGTCTCGCGTTCACAGATCTGAAGGCATTCGCATCTGTTCCTCTGCACTCCTTTACACTTACTCTGGTGTTCTCAGGCTAACAACCGCTTGGCTAAGCGTGGTGGCCGCACGATGGCGATCACCCCACGCCACTACCTGGACTTCATCAACCACTACGCCAACCTGTTCAACGAGAAGCGCAGCGAGCTGGAGGAGCAGCAGATGCACCTCAATGTGGGACTGCGCAAGATCAAGGAGACCGTCGATCAGGTACGAGCTTCGCCGACGTCACGCGGCTAACACCCCTGACGGGTGACGGCACTGTTACAAGTGTTGCCTTGCTCCCTAAAAAAGTTACCAATTATATTACTTTTTAAAAATAACTTTTATAAAGAAGTAACCAAGTAAAGTTACAATATTGGGTTACTCCCTAAAAAGTAACCAGTTACATTACTAAGTTACTTTTTATTAAAGTTACTTTTAAAAGTAATGTTACAATAGTTACTCCCTTAAAAAGTAATCAATTATATTACTTGGTAACTATGTAATTGGTTACTTTTTAGGGAGTAACACAATAGTGTAATATTACTTTTAAAAGTAACTTTCATAAAAAGTAACTATTTATGAAATTTACTTTTAAAAGTAATGTTACAATATTGTGTTATTCCCTTAAAAAAGTGTCTAATTGCGTTGCTTAGTTATTTTCTGTGTAAAGTAATGTTGTTTTTCTCAGCTGAGGCGTGATCTCTTCCAGGCCTTGCAGGAGTTTTTTTACAGAGCAGTTATTTTATACAAGTTATTAACTTAGTAATGCATTCAACAACAGCCTATATAACACACACCTTAATTTTCTGTTACAAACACACTTAGAATATTCTCATATTTTGAGCACTTGGAATATTTCCTGAGCTCTAGAGCGATGCATGCCATCTAAAGACCTCTAAACGTTGTTGAAAGTAATGTGTTTTGTTACTTTTGTGCTGTTCTGCTTTTTGTCTTTCCTGTTCGTCAATGTTATGGAATATTAAAGAACCCTTATTTAGTAGTTTAAAAACTTAACTCAAATAATGTGTACATTTATAGAGTAATGTGTTACTTGTGCGTCATGGAATCAGATACATTTTTTGATGTGACGCTACTTGTAATGCGTTACGACCCCGTTTAGTACCCTGATTTAGCGTGTTATGCGTGTGTCTCAGGTGGAGGAGCTGCGGCGCGACCTGCGGATCAAGAGTCAGGAGCTGGAGGTCAAGAACGCTGCCGCCAACGACAAGCTGAAGAAGATGGTGAAGGACCAGCAGGAGGCCGAGAAGAAGAAGGCAAGACGAGCTCCGAGCGTCCCTGACAGGCCCTCGTGTGCATCAACCCCTCGCTGCTCTCGTAACCTCTCGCTCTGCTTCACAGGTCATGAGTCAGGAGATACAGGAAGCAGTTTACAAGCAGCAGGAAGTGATCAAAGACAAGCAGCTGCGAGTGAAGCAGGACCTGGACCAGGTGGAGCCGGCCGTCATCGAGGCTCAGAACGGTACGAGTTCTCTTCGCGCTCCTGCGCTTACACTGACGCTGTTGCTTTGGCTTTCACATCTCCAGAGAATCTGCTCACGTTAAAAACAGTCTGAAATAGTTTTTCTTGTGTTGTTGTGATCTACTCTTAAGGAAATATTCACTGCTGTCAGTCCAAACTATCAGTTTACTCTCCATATCTGGGAGACATTTGGCCGGTGTCTTATAGCAAGTCAAGTTTCGTTTTATATAATACAGATTGTTTCAAAGCTAATAAACAGCAAAATAACAGAATCAATGATGCAAACTTCATCAGATATGAGACTCAATCAGACTCAGGTGTGAAGCATCTCTCCAGAAGACAGAAGAGTCATTTTTCAGATCAAGTTTTGTTCTCATCTGAAAGTGTCAGTGCATCATATCAATAATATTACTGAATATTAAGCGTCTTAATAAACCGCAGCTAAGCAAGCCAAAGGCGACAGTGGATGTTTCCTTGTGTTTTCTGCTTTCCGCTCTTTTCTTGTGTGATTGCTAGTGGTGTTGGGCGTTCGTTTCACTGCGCTAATGTCTCTGCTCTCTTCACTCCTTCTGTCTCTTCTCACGCTTGTGGCTCGTTTAGCTGTTAAATCGATTAAGAAGCAGCACTTAGTGGAGGTGCGGTCGATGGCCAACCCGCCGGCGGCAGTCAAGCTGGCGCTGGAGTCCATCTGTCTGCTGCTGGGCGAGAGCACCACCGACTGGAAGCAGATTCGCTCCATCATTATGCGCGAGAACTTCATCCCCACTATTGTGAACTTTTCTGCTGATGAGATCAGGTGACTGACTGTCGGTGCGGAGCGGTGGCCGCCGCGTGTAAAGAGGACAACTGTAGTCCTCACACACACACACACACTAGCTGCATTTACAGCCGTAGTCCTCACACACACACACACACACACACACACACACACACACACACTCACTAGCTGCGTTTACATCCAATGCAGTGAATCTAACTTGTGCACAAAATTTGAATTTCGCATAAAACATTTGAGATGCTGCGATGCAGTTGGTCCGCTGGTGAGTCCAGCTACCCAATCACATCCTCTGTTGAGAGTAGTGTTGGGGGAACTCATTAGTGTATCATAGACCCCACACTGGTGACACTGGTTATAGACCCCACACTGGCGACACTGGTTATCATAGACCACACACTGGTGACACTGGTTATCATAGACCCCACACTGGTGACACTGGTTATCATAGACCACACACTGGTGACACTGGTTATCATAGACCCCACACTGGTGACACTGGTTATCATAGACCCCACACTGGCGACACTGGTTATCATAGACCCCACACTGGTGGGTCACGTGACTCGGTCCCTCTCCCCGACGCCGCGGCCGCTACGCTCCCGCCGCATGAACCGTTTGTCCTCGTGGTCCTAAAACCCTGCCTTCCCTCCCTAGCCGTCAGCTCGATTAAGAAGCATCACCTTGTTGAAGTGCGCGCTATGGCAAACCCCCCGGCAGCCGTTAAACTGGCTCTAGAGTCGATCTGCCTCTTGCTCGGCGAGGAAACTAGTGACTGGAAAAAGATCAGACAAGTTATTATCAGAGACAATTTCATCTCCAGCATAGTCAACTTTGTCTCTGAGGACACGAGGTATTATCATCTCCTTGCACACATCTTCCTCTCAGGAGCGAGGCGGCTCTCACGCCTCAGTTCAAGGTTCAGTTATCAGTCAGAGACGAGTGTGTCAAAGTAACACCAGCATCATGTAATATTCGAATAAATAGAATCAAAATTACACTAAATATAGATTTTATTTGTTTAGCTGCACGTCCAGTCAGCTTCATCTCCACAGCGCTTGATCAAACATCAGATACAAGACGCAAAATACAGAAGACTATAGTCATTATTCAGATCAGTGTTGATTCATCATGTGGCCATTAACCGATTATCTGACCCATTAACATGTGAATGTGTTAAATGATTGAAATAGTAACTTTATTATTATTAATATTTTAACTCAAAGGGGTTGAACATTTGCAACTGTGATAATGTGTCGTATCAGTTTGAAGAAAAACATTGTATTTGCATGAGTGTGTCGTTGCTTTAGTGTCCGAGCCAGATGTGACAAATCAATGTCAATCAATGTGTTGCCGTTGACAAACTCTGATTATCATGGAAAAGCCGCCTTGGATCGCGTTTGGTTCGGACACTCTGTGTGTGTGTGTGTGTGTGTGTGTGTGTGTGTGTGTGTGTGTGTGTGTGTGTGTGTGTGTGTGTGTGAGAAACACCTCGTTCTAACACACTCTCTGCGTGTCCTAGTGACTCCATCCGGGAGAAGATGAAGAAGAACTACATGTCCAACCCCAGCTACAACTACGAGCAGGTCAACCGCGCGTCTCTGGCCTGCGGGCCGATGGTCAAGTGGGCGATCGCTCAGGTAAGGCACTGACCTCTGACCTCCCGCCACCTCTGACCCCCGCCACCCCTGACCTCTGACCACCCGCCACCCCTGACCTCTGACCCCCCGCCACCTCTGACCACCGCCACCCCTGACCTCTGACCACCCGCCACCCCTGACCACCGCCACCCCTGACCTCTGACCACCCGCCACCCCTGACCACCGCCACCCCTGACCTCTGACCACCCGCCACCCCTGACCACCCAACACCCCTGACCTCTGACCACCCAACACCCCTGACCACCGCCACCTCTGACCACCCAACACCCCTGACCACCGCCACCTCTGACCACCGCCACCCCTGACCTCTGACCACCCAACACCCCTGACCTCTGACCACCCAACACCCCTGACTACCGCCACCTCTGACCACCCAACACCTCTGACCACCGCCACCTCTGACCACACGCCACCCCTGACCTCTGACCCCCGCCACCCCTGACCACCGCCACCTCTGACCACACGCCACCCCTGACCTCTGACCCCCGCCACCCCTGACCACCGCCACCTCTGACCACACGCCACCCCTGACCTCTGACCCCCGCCACCTCTGACCACCGCCACCTCTGACCACACGCCACCCCTGACCTCTGACCCCCGCCACCCCTGACCACCGCCACCTCTGACCACCCAACACCTCTGACCACTGACCACCCGCCACCCCTGACCTCTGACCCCCCGCCACCTCTGACCACCGCCACCCCTGACCCCCCGCCACCTCTGACCACCCAACACCTCTGACCACTGACCACCCGCCACCCCTGACCACCGCCACCTCTGACCACCGCCACCTCTGACCACACACCACCCCTGACCTCTGACCCCCGCCACCCCTGACCACCGCCACCTCTGACCACCCAACACCTCTGACCACTGACCACCGCCACCTCTGACCACCGCCACCTCTGACCACCGCCACCTCTGACCACCGCCACCTCTGACCACACGCCACCTCTGACCCCCGCCACCCCTGACCACCGCCACCTCTGACCACCCAACACCTCTGACCACTGACCACCCGCCACCCCTGACCTCTGACCCCCCGCCACCTCTGACCACCGCCACCCCTGACCTCTGACCCCCCGCCACCTCTGACCACCCAACACCTCTGACCACTGACCACCCGCCACCCCTGACCACCGCCACCTCTGACCACCCAACACCTCTGACCACCGCCACCTCTGACCACACACCACCCCTGACCTCTGACCCCCGCCACCCCTGACCACCGCCACCTCTGACCACCAAACACCTCTGACCACTGACCCCCTGCCACCTCTGACCACCGCCACCCCTGACCTCTGACCACCCGCCACCCCTGACCTCTGACCACTCAACACCTCTGACCACCCAACACCCCTGACCACCGCCACCTCTGACCACCGCCACCCCTGACCTCTGACCACCCGCCACCCCTGACCTGACCACCCAACACCTCTGACCACCGCCACCCCTGACCTCTGACCACCCAACACCCCTGACCACCCGCCACCCCTGACCTCTGACCACCCAACACCCCTGACCACCGCCACCTCTGACCACCCAACACCCCTGACCTCTAACCTCCCGCCACATCTGACCACCGCCACCCCTGACCTCTGACCTCCCGCCGCCTCTGACCACACACCACCCCTGACCTCTAACCTCCCGCCACATCTGGCCACCCCTGACCTTTGACCCCCCGCCACCTCTGACCACCCAACACTGACCACCCGCCACCCCTGACCACCGCCACCTCTGACCACCCAACATCTCTGACCACACACCACCCCTGACCTCTGACCCCCGCCAACCCTGACCACCGCCACCTCTGACCACCAAACACCTCTGACCACTGACCCCCCGCCACCTCTGACCATCGCCACCCCTGACCTCTGACCACCCACCACCCCTGACCTGACCACCCGCCACCCCTGACCTCTGACCACCCGCCACCCCTGACCTCTGACCACCCAACACCTCTGACCACCCAACACCCCTGACCACCGCCACCTCTGACCACCGCCACCCCTGACCTCTGACCACCCGCCACCCCTGACCTGACCACCCAACACCTCTGACCACCCAACACCCCTGACCACCGCCACCTCTGACCACCGTGACCTCTGACCACCCAACACCCCTGACCACCCGCCACCCCTGACCTCTGACCACCCAACACCTCTGACCACCCAACACCCCTGACCACCGCCACCTCTGACCACCCGCCACCCCTGACCTCTAACCTCCCGCCACATCTGACCACCGCCACCCCTGACCTCTGACCTCCCGCCGCCTCTGACCATCGCCACCCCTGACCTCCCGCCACCTCTGACCCCCCGCCACCCCTGACCTCTGACCCCCTGCCACCTCTGACCTCCCGCCACCTCTGACCCCCCGCCACCCCTGACCTCTGACCTCCCGCCACCTCTGACCACCCCTGACCTCTGACCCCCCGCCACCCCTGAACTCTGACCCCCTGCCACCTCTGACCCCGCCACCCCTGACCTCTGACCCCCTGCCACCTCTGACCCCGCCACCCCAGAACTCTGACCCCCCGCCACCCCTGAACTCTGACCCCCTGCCACCTCTGACCCCGCCACCCCTGACCTCTGGCTTTGTGTTCAGCTGAATTACGCAGACATGCTGAAGCGCGTGGAGCCCCTGAGGAACGAGCTGCAGAAGCTGGAGGACGACGCCACAGACAACAAGACGAAGGCGGAGGAGGTGGAGCAGATGATCCGGGACCTGGAGGCTAGCATCGCGCGCTACAAGGAGGAGTACGCCGTGCTAATCTCAGAAGCGCAGGCCATCAAAGCCGACCTGGCGGCCGTGGAGGCGAAGGTGCGACTGATAACACGCCTCACTGCGTCTCAAGTGCATCTCAGAATAAAGAATACATGAGACATGCTATCAAATCAATTTAAGGAGAATATATGAAATGACAATAACAAAATAATAGCATAAAAGCAACCCCTAAAAAATAAGTTTTAAGAGATTTAAAGATTCTAGGACAACTGATAATAAAAGAAAATCTCCATCTTCCTGTTCTGCGTTTGAATTCATGTGCAGTATTTCTGCTGTTGGTCACATTGAGGAGGTTTTTGTCCTGGAAAACCCGTGAAAACCTCAACAAAACCTGTTTTTAATCAAGTTGATCCAAATTTAGTTTTAGATTATTATTTTTGTAAGGTGAAAAAATGCATCTTAAATGTCTTATTTAGATTTGTTCTGTTTTTTAGTAACTCTGATCTGGATTTCGCCATGAAAATTAAAATCTTCAGAACGGATAGTTGTAATATTCTCTCCTAACGCTCGTGTGTTAAGCTGAGCTGGTGTGTGTGTGTGTGTTGAGCTGGTGTGTGTGCTGAGCTGGTGTGTGTGTGTGTGTTGAGCTGGTGTGTGTGTTGAGCTGGTGTGTGTGTGTGTGCGCTGAGCTGGTGTGTGTAAGACTCTGACTCGTGTGTGTGCTGAGCTGGTGCGTGTAAGACTAACTCGTGTGTGTTGAGCTGAGCTGGTGTGTGTGTGTACGACTATGACTCGTGTGTGTTGAGCTGAGCTGGTGTGTGTAAGACTAACTCGTGTGTGTTGAGCTGAGCTGGTGTGTGTGTGTACGACTCTGACTCGTGTGTGTTGAGCTGAGCTGGTGTGTGTGTGTACGACTATGACTCGTGTGTGTTGAGCTGAGCTGGTGTGTGTACGACTATGACTCGTGTGTCTTGAGCTGAGCTGCTGCGTGTGTGTGTACGTGTTGAGCTGAGCTGGTGCGTGTGTGTGTACGACTCTGACTCGTGTGTGTTGAGCTGAGCTGGTGTGTGTGTGTGTACGACTCTGACTCGTGTGTGTTGAGCTGAGCTGGTGCGTGTAAGACTAACTCGTGTGTGTTGAGCTGAGCTGGTGCGTGTGTGTGTACGACTCTGACTCGTGTGTGTTGAGCTGAGCTGGTGTGTGTGTGTGTGTGTTGAGCTGAGCTGGTGCGTGTGTGTGTACGACTCTGACTCGTGTGTGTGCTGAGCTGGTGTGTGTAAGACTAACTCGTGTGTGTTGAGCTGAGCTGGTGCGTGTGTGTGTACGACTCTGACTCGTGTGTGTTGAGCTGAGCTGGTGTGTGTGTGTGTGTGTTGAGCTGAGCTGGTGCGTGTGTGTGTACGACTCTGACTCGTGTGTGTTGAGCTGAGCTGGTGTGTGTGTGTGTGCTGAGCTGGTGTGTGTGTGTGTGCGCTGAGCTGGTGTGTGTGTGTGTGCTGAGCTGGTGTGTGTAAGACTCTGACTCGTGTGTGTGCTGAGCTGGTGTGTGTAAGACTAACTCGTGTGTGTTGAGCTGAGCTGGTGTGTGTGTGTACGACTATGACTCGTGTGTGTTGAGCTGAGCTGGTGTGTGTAAGACTAACTCGTGTGTGTTGAGCTGAGCTGGTGTGTGTGTGTACGACTATGACTCGTGTGTGTTGAGCTGAGCTGGTGTGTGTAAGACTAACTCGTGTGTGTTGAGCTGAGCTGGTGTGTGTGTGTACGACTATGACTCGTGTGTGTTGAGCTGAGCTGGTGTGTGTACGACTATGACTCGTGTGTCTTGAGCTGAGCTGCTGCGTGTGTGTGTACGTGTTGAGCTGAGCTGGTGCGTGTGTGTGTACGACTCTGACTCGTGTGTGTTGAGCTGAGCTGGTGTGTGTGTGTGTGTGTTGAGCTGAGCTGGTGCGTGTGTGTGTACGACTCTGACTCGTGTGTGTTGAGCTGAGCTGGTGTGTGTGTGTACGACTATGACTCGTGTGTGTTGAGCTGAGCTGGTGTGTGTACGACTATGACTCGTGTGTGTGCTGAGCTGGTGTGTGTAAGACTAACTCGTGTGTGTTGAGCTGAGCTGGTGTGTGTGTGTACGACTATGACTCGTGTGTGTTGAGCTGAGCTGGTGTGTGTACGACTATGACTCGTGTGTGTTGAGCTGAGCTGGTGTGTGTAAGACTCTGACTCGTGTGTGTGCTGAGCTGGTGTGTGTAAGACTAACTCGTGTGTGTTTGAGCTGAGCTGGTGTGTGTGTGTACGACTATGACTCGTGTGTGTTGAGCTGAGCTGGTGTGTGTACGACTATGACTCGTGTGTGTTGAGCTGAGCTGGTGTGTGTACGACTATGACTCGTGTGTGTTGAGCTGAGCTGGTGTGTGTACGACTATGACTCGTGTGTGTTGAGCTGAGCTGGTGTGTGTAAGACTAACTCGTGTGTGTTTGAGCTGAGCTGGTGTGTGTGTGTACGACTATGACTCGTGTGTGTTGAGCTGAGCTGGTGTGTGTACGACTATGACTCGTGTGTGTTGAGCTGAGCTGGTGTGTGTACGACTATGACTCGTGTGTGTTGAGCTGAGCTGGTGTGTGTACGACTATGACTCGTGTGTCTTGAGCTGAGCTGGTGTGTGTACGACTATGACTCGTGTGTGTTGAGCTGAGCTGGTGTGTGTAAGACTCTGACTCGTGTGTGTGCTGAGCTGGTGTGTGTAAGACTAACTCGTGTGTGTTGAGCTGAGCTGGTGTGTGTGTGTACGACTATGACTCGTGTGTGTTGAGCTGAGCTGGTGTGTGTACGACTATGACTCGTGTGTGTTGAGCTGAGCTGGTGTGTGTAAGACTATGACTCGTGTGTGTTGAGCTGAGCTGGTGTGTGTACGACTATGACTCGTGTGTGTTGAGCTGAGCTGGTGTGTGTACGACTATGACTCGTGTGTGTTGAGCTGAGCTGGTGTGTGTACGACTATGACTCGTGTGTGTGCTGAGCTGGTGTGTGTAAGACTAACTCGTGTGTGTTGAGCTGAGCTGGTGTGTGTACGACTATGACTCGTGTGTGTTGAGCTGAGCTGGTGTGTGTACGACTATGACTCGTGTGTGTTGAGCTGAGCTGGTGTGTGTACGACTATGACTCGTGTGTGTTGAGCTGAGCTGGTGTGTGTACGACTATGACTCGTGTGTGTTGAGCTGAGCTGGTGTGTGTACGACTATGACTCGTGTGTGTTGAGCTGAGCTGGTGTGTGTGTGTACGACTATGACTCGTGTGTGTTGAGCTGAGCTGGTGTGTGTACGACTATGACTCGTGTGTGTTGAGCTGAGCTGGTGTGTGTAAGACTCTGACTCGTGTGTGTTGAGCTGAGCTGGTGTGTGTACGACTATGACTCGTGTGTGTTGAGCTGAGCTGGTGTGTGTAAGACTCTGACTCGTGTGTGTGCTGAGCTGGTGTGTGTAAGACTAACTCGTGTGTGTTGAGCTGAGCTGGTGTGTGTGTGTACGACTATGACTCGTGTGTGTTGAGCTGAGCTGGTGTGTGTACGACTATGACTCGTGTGTGTTGAGCTGAGCTGGTGTGTGTACGACTATGACTCGTGTGTGTGCTGAGCTGGTGTGTGTAAGACTAACTCGTGTGTGTTGAGCTGAGCTGGTGTGTGTGTGTACGACTATGACTCGTGTGTGTTGAGCTGAGCTGGTGTGTGTAAGACTAACTCGTGTGTGTTGAGCTGAGCTGGTGTGTGTGTGTACGACTATGACTCGTGTGTGTTGAGCTGAGCTGGTGTGTGTACGACTATGACTCGTGTGTATTGAGCTGAGCTGGTGTGTGTAAGACTAACTCGTGTGTGTTGAGCTGAGCTGGTGTGTGTGTGTACGACTATGACTCGTGTGTGTTGAGCTGAGCTGGTGTGTGTAAGACTAACTCGTGTGTGTTGAGCTGAGCTGGTGTGTGTGTGTACGACTATGACTCGTGTGTGTTGAGCTGAGCTGGTGTGTGTACGACTATGACTCGTGTGTGTTGAGCTGAGCTGGTGTGTGTAAGACTAACTCGTGTGTGTTGAGCTGAGCTGGTGTGTGTGTGTACGACTATGACTCGTGTGTGTTGAGCTGAGCTGGTGTGTGTACGACTCTGACTCGTGTGTGTTGAGCTGAGCTGGTGTGTGTAAGACTAACTCGTGTGTGTTGAGCTGAGCTGGTGTGTGTGTGTACGACTATGACTCGTGTGTGTTGAGCTGAGCTGGTGTGTGTAAGACTAACTCGTGTGTGTTGAGCTGAGCTGGTGTGTGTGTGTACGACTCTGACTCGTGTGTGTACGACTCTGACTCGTGTGTGTGTGTGTACGACTCTGACTCGTGTGTGTTGAGCTGAGCTGCTGCGTGTGTGTGTACGTGTTGAGCTGAGCTGGTGCGTGTGTGTGTACGACTCTGACTCGTGTGTGTTGAGCTGAGCTGGTGTGTGTGTGTACGACTATGACTCGTGTGTGTGCTGAGCTGGTGTGTGTAAGACTAACTCGTGTGTGTTGAGCTGAGCTGGTGTGTGTGTGTACGACTATGACTCGTGTGTGTTGAGCTGAGCTGGTGTGTGTAAGACTAACTCGTGTGTGTTGAGCTGAGCTGGTGTGTGTGTGTACGACTCTGACTCGTGTGTGTTGAGCTGAGCTGGTGTGTGTGTGTACGACTATGACTCGTGTGTGTTGAGCTGAGCTGGTGTGTGTACGACTATGACTCGTGTGTCTTGAGCTGAGCTGCTGCGTGTGTGTGTACGTGTTGAGCTGAGCTGGTGCGTGTGTGTGTACGACTCTGACTCGTGTGTGTTGAGCTGAGCTGGTGTGTGTGTGTGTGTGTGTTGAGCTGAGCTGGTGTGTGTAAGACTCTGACGTGTGTGTGTGTGTGTGTGTGTGTGTGTGCTGAGCTGGTGTGTGTGTGTACGACTCTGACTCGTGTGTGTACGACTCTGACTCGTGTGTGTGTGTGTACGACTCTGACTCGTGTGTGTACGACTCTGACTCGTGTGTGTGTGTGTACGACTCTGACTCGTGTGTGTACGACTCTGACTCGTGTGTGTGTGTGTACGACTCTGACTCGTGTGTGTACGACTCTGACTCGTGTGTGTGTGTGTACGACTCTGACTCGTGTGTGTACGACTCTGACTCGTGTGTGTGTGTGTACGACTCTGACTCGTGTGTGTGTGTGCTGAGCTGGTGTGTGTGTGTGTACGACTCTGACTCGTGTGTGTGTACGACTCTGACTCGTGTGTGTGTACGACTCTGACTCGTGTGTGTGTGTGTACGACTCTGACTCGTGTGTGTGTGTGTGCTGAGCTGAGCTGGTGTGTGTGTGTACGACTCTGACTCGTGTGTGTGTGTGTACGACTCTGACTCGTGTGTGTGTGTGCTGAGCTGAGCTGGTGTGTGTGTGTGTACGACTCTGACTCGTGTGTGTGTGTGTGCTGAGCTGAGCTGGTGTGTGTGTGTGTGTGCTGAGCTGAGCTGGTGTGTGTGT